ACTCTGGCCCCATATGGCCACCAGCAGCCCTGTTGGTCTCTGCCACAAAGTGAAAGGGGCTGTAGGTTATCAGCTCATCCTACCGGTCTTCTCTGTCTAGAATTTGTAGTCCCTGTTGCTTCCAAGGCTCTGCAGTGCCTTAAACATTTTGTTTTAAAATCATCTTATCTAGTGAGAAGCAGAAGCATTCATCTGCTACAATTACTCTATCTTAGCAGGAAGAGGAAAACTGTAATTGCCTTTTAGCAAATACTCCACGTGCAATGATCCTAGAAATCAGAAACACTCTCGAGGACGAGAATAACCAGCACTGAAATAGGAAACAAAATACATTTAGGAAGTTGTTTTTGAGTTTGGGATTGACCCGAGTCTAGCACCTGAAATAAGTATTTCCTATAATTTAAAATTCTAGGGTCATTTCACATAATGCTTCATTTTAATGAGTCTCCCACTTTTGCTGGATTCTGTATTTGAAAGCATTAGTATAGGATTTATGCTGCTCTAAATAGGAAATAATTCAAATAATATATTTTTTTCGTGTAAAAAGAGATATCAGTCATCACGACTACTTCAAAAAGGCTGCAATTAACCTTTTTATTCAAGTCATAATTTAGCTATTAGAAAAACATGACTTTATCACAAGGCAGTTTTTCTAGGTGAGGCAAATGTGAAATGCTTAAGGATGTGAACATCTTCCCTATGTATTTAAAATGTATGACTTTATTTTTTCAGTTATTTTAAAATTACAAGGATAATATACTCAGTCCATAATATAGCAGTCTAAATCACTTCTGGAAGTTCCAATCCAGGTAAGATGCTATCTTTACCAAATTACAAAATTTTAAGAAATCACTATAATATTGTGTAATAAGGTAAAGTTATTTTTTCTGTTAGAGTCATGTATTACTTTAATGAGGCTTTTACTACAAAAATATCATTTAGTATCAAGTAAAAAAAAACATGTTTTTCAGGACTGTTTCTAGTAAGGCAAAGTGTTTTGTTTTTGTGTGCAACTTGATATGGCTTTTAAACTTATATAATCTTGTTTTGAATGAGTTATTGGATGCAAGCTGCTGAAATTAAAAGAATCAGGACAAGGCTGTATAAAGGTGACATCTTCATTTTGGTGTTGGTCCAAAGCCAGGGCCTTATACATGATGAGCTTTCAAACTCTTACTTAATTAAATTCAACAGGTAATATCCGTTTTTAATTTAAATAACTTTTACAGTGTTAAGTCTGTACATATACAGCACAGTCTTCAATGTTAGATGCCTTGCCAATGAACACAGCATTTCTCTAAGCTGCTTATTTCTAACAATTCATTTTAATTCATATTTAAAAAAAAAACAAATACACATGAGTAGATTGCCATGTAGGATAGACTGGGAAGACCTAAGGTTTTATACCATTAATGTTGATTGTTGCTTTGAAAGTATTGCAATTGCTGTTTCCTTTTACTAAAGCTAAATAATCTTCAGACTCAAAATTTAAATTATATCATATTATTACATTTCTTCTAAATCTTTTTAAAGATATTTTACTTTTTATTACACCTTCTACTAGTAGATAATTATTGAGACTGACTCACAGTGATTATGGCTTCTTGAGTGAAAATTGCTTTTCCTTAAGTTAATATTGTTCTTGAGGATGTGGTTTATGTTTGTCTCACATCTGTTTTATAAATGAAATATTAGTAGATTTCAGTTCATTGATCTTGCTAAATAATGTTACTGAATAGATAATCTGGTTGTTTCTTCACAAGGAGCAAAGAAAATCTCAAATAAACAATCTAACCTTACACTTAAAATAACTAGAAAAATAAAACAAACAAAGCTTAGAGTAAGTAAAAGGACAGAAATAATAAAGATTAGAGTGAAAATAAATGACATAGAGACTAACAAAACAATACAAAAGATTAATGAAGCCAAGAGCTTATTCTTTGAAAAGATAAACAAGATTGACAAGCCTTTAACCAAACTCATAAAAAGGATAGGGCCCAAATAAATAAAATCAGAAATGAAAGAGGTGAAGGTACAACCGACACCAGAAATACAAAGGATTGTATGAAAAGATTACAAACTACTATATGCCAAAAAAATGGACAACCTGGATAAAATGAATAAATTTCTAGAAACATACAATCTTCCAAAACTGAATCAGGAAAAATCAGAAAATTTGAATAGACCAATTAGAACAAGTGGGACTACATCAGACTAAAACGTTTTTGCACAGCAAAGGAAACCATCAACAAAATGAAAAGACAACCCACCAAATGGGAGAACATATTCACCAAAGATAAGGAATTTATAGTCAAAATTTATGAAGAACTTATACAACTCAACACCAAAAATATCCAATTAAAAATGGGCAAAGGACCTACCTAGACACTTCTTGGAAGATTACCAATAGACATTTGGAAAGATGCTCAACATCACTAATCATCGGGGAAAGGTAAATTGAAACCACAATGAAATATCACCTCACACCTGTCAGCATGGCTGTCATCAATAAGTCAATAAAAAAGTGTTTGTGAGGATGTGAAGAAAAGGGAACCCTTTTTCACTGTTAATGGGAATGCAGATTATTGCAGTCACTGTGGAAAACAGTCTGAATATTTCTCAAAATATTAAAAAGTTAACTGCCTTGTGACCCAGCAATTCTATTTTCTAGTAATATATTGGAAGAAACCAGAAACTCTGATTCGAAAACTATATGCACCCATATATTAATTGCTGTGCTATCTACAATAGCCAAGATTTATAAACAGCCCAAGTGTCTATTAATAGATGAGTGAATTAAAAAAAAAGTTTTGGTACATTTACACAAGAGAATACTGCTCTGCCATAAAAAAGAAGGAAATTTTACCTTTTGCAACCACATAGGATATTATGCTAAGTGAAATAAGCCAGTGAGAGAAAGGTAAATACCACATGACTTCACTTATATGGAATCTAATGAACAACACAAACAAACAAACAAAATAGAGACAGACCGACACGTCAGTGGGGAGAAGTTTGGGGGGACTGAGTGAAATAGCTGAAGAGATTAAGCAAAAATAGAAACTCGTAGAAATACATAAGAACATGCTGATTACCAGAGGGAAAGAGAGATGGGGCAGATAGAAGAAGGTAAAGGGGGGATAAATGGTGATGGAAGGACACTAACTTCAGGTAATGAACACACAATACAATATACAGAAGATGTATTATAAAATTGTATATTTGAAACCTATATAATTTTGTTAATGTGACCACAATAAATTCAACAAAAAATTTAGGTAAGGGATTAAGACATGGCCTGGCAAAATTTTCAAATTTAAAGAGAAAATCCCACAACAATTAATTGGGGAAAGCAGGTCACCTTCAAATGAACTAAACTCAGCTTGGCCACAGACATTTTCCTCTACAGAAAAAAGTATCAGAAAGTAATGGAGTCATAACATAATCATGTAGTCATCTTCATCATCATCATCATCTTCATCACTAACATTTACTGAGCACTTAACTGAACTCTAAGCACTTTATTTTATCATCCAAAATCTTAAGAGGTGCGTATTATTGTTGGTCCATTTACACATAAAGGACAGGGTGTACAGGGTGGTTGACTTGCTCATCGTCTCACAGATTTCCAATAATGGAGCTGAAATTCAACCCCAGGCAGCATGATTCCCCAAGGCCATATCATTGCTACTTATATTCTAGAACTCTGAAAGAGAAAAAAATTGTGATGCAGAGAGCTTATCATTGATGTGTGCCACCGTTTAGAAAATATGCCTCCCATCTATGTGTTTATATAACTTCTCAAAATCTTCCTTCAAATTTCTAAGCTTTTAATCACAGTGAATTATGTTACAGGCAATTACATAAGAAACAGACTGGTGGTAGGCATCAAACTACCTAAAACCTTAGAACTAAGGGTTTAGAGAAATAACCTCTTGGAATAACCTCTAATAGAGGAATCTAAATAACAGATTTTACTTGGGTAAAAAATGCTAAGGCCAAAGCAATTTTATATGGCACATTTTAGAAAGAAGTCAGATCTGTCTGTGAGTTGACTATCATTGTCCACTGGGACCTGCCTGGCTTACGGGAGTGTCCACCAAAGTCATTGGCGTACATTCTCCACCAACAGGAATCTACAATTTGAGGTGCATTGAAGAAGGAAAATTTATTCAGTGCAAACAGTTCAATCGTGACACAGCACAGCTGTGAATACAGCATGGCTGTGGAACAGCTCAATTATGATATAGCATGGCTGTGAAAACAGCACTGCCATTCCGAAGCCCTGGGGCCAGGCTTCTCTCCAACAGGACAGCAGTGCTCTGCTCCTCGTTGATTTTCTGTGCTCCACTTTCTGCCGGTCCGCTCTGCCCTGCACTGATCTGCTCCACTGTGCTCCAGGGAGACATCTTTGGAGTTTCAGCCGAGGAAACACAGTCTTTGGTGGGAAGGGAAAGTGTCCTCTCAGAGCAAGAAGGGAGCTGACATATAAACAGAAGTCCTCCTCCCTGGTCCCTGATTGTTTCCTCCTTATACAGATAAGGACTCTGAATTCTCACAGTTCCATTGCTCCAAAAGGCACTGCTCTGATTGGTCAGTGAATAAGCTGATGGGGTTATAGCTGTGCAGCTCTGACTGGCTGGGAAAAGCCCCGGTCCTATTGGTTGAAATAGTATTCCAGGAACTGCTTTATAGGGGCTGGTTCGGATGGCAGGAACACAGTGCAGGAAGGCTGTTCAGTACAGGAGGCAGGCGGTTCAGTTCAGGCTTCTCCCTGAAATGCAGTTTGTGTGAGAGGCCCTGTGCAGAAATTGCTGCTAGCCTCTGTACTCTAAATGTGAGGCCAGTACGCCAGCGGGAGCCCTTCTTAGTAGGTATCTGCTTTCTCAGGGTCCTATGGAGGAACTAGGTTGCAGTTCCTGATGGTGTCCTCTCTGGCCCTGGCCGTTTCTTCCTGGTTATACCTTACTTCTCAAACCCATTTTATTTTTGTCTTTCAGGTGAAACTAAGATTTGCTTCAAATACTACCATGGAGTGAGTGGAGCCCTGAGAGCTACCACCCCAAGTGTCACGGTCAAAAATTCAGCAGCTCCTGTAAGTCTCATTCCTTCCTCTTTGGTCAGACCTAACTCTGTGCTTCTTCACTTTTCCATTTGCTGGTGTGTGTGTGTGTGTGTGTGTGTGTGTGTGTGTGTGTGAGAGAGAGAGAGAGAGAGAGAGAGACAGAGAGAGAGAGAGAGACAGAGAGAGAGAGAGAGACAGAGAGAGACAGAGACAGAGACACTGATAGGTTATTAATAGGTAGATAGACAGACATGCATCTCAAAATAATAAAGAGGAATTAGATCTGAAAGCAACCATATAAAAATGCATACCACTTTTTGTACAAGAAATGTCAAGCTTCAGTAGAGAGCCAGATGTTTCTAATAATCTCATGCTTAATAACAGTGAATAATAAAACTTTCTTTGGAACACATTTTAAAATTTCTTGGTTTCAAATATTTACATTTTCATATGTTTTAATTTCTTCTTAGGCTTATAATTAAATGACACATACCCATAAAGCATTGCATAAAATCATTTTCACAGTCAGTAAATGGTAGAGCACTTGTCTGGGAATGCAGCATATTTCTTAACCTCAAACATGCCTTTAGAACGCATCTTAAACAAGAAGTCAGGATGCAATACCTTCCAGACCAGACAAACATCTTTACTTCCTGGAAAATGTTTATCACAGTTACAGCTGCCTCCACTTGCATACCATCAATCTGGTGCTGAGATGACTTTGTATATAATGTTAGCAAAAAGCCATGAGTTTGTAGAATTTTATGAAGCTTTAAAAGTGTCTCACCTCTGAGTTTAATAGCTTCTGAGATATACATTATCTTTTGGCACCAGACCTGTTTTGATGCAATGGATGAAGAACCTTTTTGTAAATACCTTGAATAGCTGGGAGAAGAATATTTAAATAGGAAGAACCAAAATATGTACGCTTTAAGTAGAAAGGAACAAATGTACTATCCATTGTTATCATTGCATGTTTATGCTCATTTTAGCCTAGCATTAAATGTGCAATTTAGCCCAGCCAGCATGACTCAGTGGTTGAGCATTGACCAATGAACCAGGAGGTCATGGTTCGATTCATGGTCAGGGCACAAACTGGGGTTGCAAGCTCAATCCCCAGTGTGGGACATGCAAAAGGCAGCCGATCAATGATTCTCTCTCATCATTGATGCTTTCTATCTCTCTCTCCTTCCCTCTCTGAAATCAATAAAAATATATATATTTGAAGTGTGCAGTTTAATTTTACACTTTTAAAAAATTCAGATTGGAATGCACACACTTTAGACTTGTAATGCTACAAGGCTCTATTAAAAGTATATTTGTTGTGTCCTCAGGGAAGTTAAATTCTGAGAAGGAGCAAGCTAGATGTTTATATTTTTAAACTAGAGTTAGAAACAACCCATTGCAATTGTTCCACTGAGACAAATACAGCACTGTGGTCAGCCTGCCAAAGGCCCAGGTATAGGTTTGAAAGAGAAGAAAAGTCCACAACATTAAAGAAGTTTGAGCCCTGGTTGTGCTTGAGCATATTGGACACTTTGAGAGCTGGAAGAGTGGTCCACCCTGAGGGTGCATCCTGACCTGTTTGTTGATGTCTGTTGCTCTGTGTCAGCCAGGTGGAGTGAAGAACAGACTAGGAAGGAGAGAGCTTTCCAGTGCGAAGAGGGCTAATGCCTAAACCAACCAGCCTTTCAACTCATTGATCCCGGCCCTGTCTTCCTCTGATTCCTTATCAAATGAAACTCGTAGAGACACAGACCTATAAAAGAATTAGTTTCCCCTGCTAAGCAGCCCAGCATCCCTGAGATGCATCTTGCATGAGGCCTAAGAGTAGAGACATACTGAGCAGGTTTCCATACAAGCTGCAGCCAACTGCATAGGCTCATCAGAGGCACCTGCTCAACAGGAGGTGTTCTAGTAATCTCTTTGTACTCTTTTGGGGTTGAAGTAGTGAGTTCTAGTGATGCCATCATTACTCCCCATCTTAGATAAGGCAGCTTGATGATAACATCCAATCACAACTCTTACAGCATCAAGGGTAGTTAGAGGCAGGATAGAGAGAGAGAACAAGCCCACACAACCTATACACCAGGGGTGGGGAACCTTTTTTCTGCCAAGGGCCATTTGGATATTTATAACATCATTCGTAAGCCATACAAAATTGTCAACTTAAAAATTAGCTTGTTATATTTGGTCAATCATTTAATTAATTCACCTTTAATGCCTTGACAGGGTCAGACCAAATGATTTCGTGGACCTTATACAAGGCACAGGCTGGATGTTCCCCACCCCTGCTATAAACAAAGAGACTTTTGAGCCACAAGTTATCCTGTTTTCCATTTTTCTTTCTTAAGTGCAGATTATCTCCTAGTACTCAGATTTTTAAAATTATTTTTTGCAAATATACAATGTATGCAAACATAACTCTGCCTTTGAATAAGTACTCAGAATCATTTCTGAGTAAAATGTACCTAAAAGAGAATGAAAGCCAAGACTCTAGCTGTTTTTATTAATCCATTAACAGGTATATATTGAGCAGTGATGGAAAAGAAAGCATTTTCACAACTTGGTTTGCAAATTGCTTTAGGCTATCCATGTAAAAAATTGTGTTCTGAAATTTCTCAGGAAGGAAATTAAATAAAGGAGACTTTAGAGTTGCTTCTTAATGCCATGCACCGGTTTCTCCCTAATAAACAGAGTTTCCTGGAAATTTCTAAGTAATAAGACAGATCAGAAGAAATGGAGATAGAACAGTTTAACACTATACTTTGCTAAATCAGAACACATTATAATTACAACAGTGAACATTTGTTGACTATCATTCTAGTCCCTTAGGTCTGCTTTAATAAACACTTTTTTTTTGCAAATTTGAATGTAAAAAGGCATTGTTTACATAATTAGTTACAAAGGGGCTCTAATATTACAATAATGTGGTTTGAATTTCCATTTCTCTGAAAAGTACACCTCGTCCCCACTAGCATTTCCCACTCTATTCCTGGGAAAAGACATTAGGTTGCTAGAAGTTTGTTTTAATCAATAATAGCCTAATAAAGTCACAGTGCTGCTGCCTTCATGGAGGGTAGAGAAATAACTTAATAAGACATGTTCGTTTTGGAATATATCTATGACAGTGCTTGTCTCCTGTTTTTCTTCTTACAGATTTTTAAAAGCGTGGGCTCTTATGAAACTGTCCAGGAGCAGGGAAGTCGGAGGCTGATCAGCTTTTCTCTCTCAGGTATGTTTTGCTCGCTGAGGGCCTTGTGGAAAGAACAAAAATGTCAACCATCAGGAGGTCCGCTTTCATTTGACTCTTACCTAGAAGTTACTCAACCTTTCCCTGTGCCTCAGTTTCTCCATCTGTAAAACAAAAATTAAAAATATCAGCTTCATTTCCCCTGGCCTCATGAGGATGTGGAGGATTCAATAAATAATAGATGCATAAGCACTCTGAGATGATGAGAGGAGAAACTGCTAATTCTACTTTTCCTCCGTTGCCAAGTAGCAGTAATTGAGAGTTTTTCTAAAGTGGAAGTAAGGGAAATCCTGGGGAGAGAAGCAGCTGGCAGACCCTTTGTCTAAATAAAATCTTAATTAAGCCCAATTGAGTTGCTCAAAAAAGTACATTCGTGGCAAAACCAGTGTAAGCCATGTAAAGTCTTTAATTTAGTTTAATAGTATTTAGTTGAGTAATTTAGTTAATTTTTTCATTTTAATAATGTACCATAGCACTGTAATATGTTAACCAAGGGTAAAGGACATTGTACTATTTTTGCAACTTTCTGTAAATCTAAAATAATCTCAACGTGAAAAGTATAAAGAAAAACTGAGTTGGTCTGGCTAAAATTCTCTAGAAAGTTCAGAGCCCCACACACTCAATTTCACCGTAAGTGGTCTTGGGGATATGCAATGGCATGGCACTCTAGGATTGTGGTGAGTACAGTTTGAGAAACTATTGCCTTAGCTTGTTGTCAAACCAACAACTGTTACAGGCCATACATGTCAGAGATCTGAGATCACACTCATGCACTGTCCTTGAGAGATGGACGGTCAACTGGGGCTATTCATGTTTAAGTGAGCACCAGTAAAGGAAATGTGTGTCTCATGATTTACTGATAGGCGGTTATAGAAAAGTTACAGGATACAAGGTTAATATACAAAAAGTCACTCACTTTTCTATACACCAGCAATAAACAAGTAGAATTTGAAATTAAAGACACAATACCGTTTCATTAGCCCTGGGCATGGGGCTTATTGGAATGGTGGGGCCACGAGTGATGCGTGCTGCACTGAGGGCCCCTGGCCTGTCAGTGTGCCCCTCCTCAGCCCTCCACTCCAGCCAAGGCTTCTTACCTGGACACCCAGCTACCTCCTTCTCAGAGAGGCAGTTGGTTGGTGGGACATTATTAAGAGAGATAGAGGAAAACACCAATAAATTAAACATATTTTGTGTTCATGAATTAGAAGAATCAACATAGTTAAAATGACCATATTATCCAAAGCAATATACAGTTTTAATGCAATCCCCATCAAAATCCCACTATGGAAAACAGTATGTAAGTTCCTCAAAAAATTAGAAATAGAGTTACCATATGACTCAGCAAGCCCTCTTCTGGGTATGTACCTGAAAATTTTGAAACATTTATTCACAAAAATACATGCACCCCCATGTTTATTGCAGTATTATTCACAGTGGCAAAGACATAGAAACCATATTGTCCCTCAATAGATAATTAGATAAAGATGTGGAACATATACACAATGGAATACTAAATGAAAAGCTAAAATACTACCAATTATGACAAAATGGATGGATCTTGAGAATCTCATGCTAAGTAAAATGTCAGACACAAAAAGTTAAGAATCATAAGCTTTCACTCATATGTGTGATATAAAACTTAAAGCAACAAATGAACAAACAAGGCAGATGGGTTAGTGAAGGTTAGAAGGGGTCAAATGTATGGTGACCAAAGGTGATTTGACTTTGGGAGGTGGCTACACAATGCAATATACAATGATGTATTATAGAAGTAAACACTTGAAATCTATAAAATTTTATTATCCAAAATCACCCCAATAAATTTAATTTTTAAAAAGACAAGAAACAGAAATGTTTATAAAGGGTACTCGGGGAGAAGGAAAATAATAAAGGTCATAATCTCAGAGATCACAAAAAAACCTATTTATACTTGAGAAATTAACCTATGCCAATATTGGTATTTTTATTGAAAGGTAATATAATATATTGGTTAAATGCACATTCTTGGTAATCAAAGAGACAGGTTCCAATTTGATTTCTGATACTCACCAGCCCTGACAACTTCATCAAGTCACTTAATTTATAAGCCTCCATTTTTCTCTTCCTCAAATTAATAATATCATATCTACCTCATAGAGTTTATGCTTAGAATTAAATCAGATAATGTATTTGAAGATCATAGTATAGTTCTCAGAATTTAGTAACTAGCTAATAAGTAGGGCCTGGTAGAGGTGATGGTAGTCATATTATTTTATGATGAATAAATCTACGTCTGTCACACTGTCAGTCAATGACCCCAACAACACCCCAGATTTGGTGATCCACTAGAACTCAGCATATAATCATACTCATGGCTACTCAGCGGTGCCTGGGGGATGTCTGGAGGGAATCAGTGGTGAGCTTCTGTGAGTCTTCTCCCAGTGGAGTCACACAGAATATACTTACTTCTCCCAGCAACAAATCATGGCATATGACATGTTCTTTGCCAGGTAAGCTCATGACAGACCCATTGCCAAGGAACAGTTCAGTTTTCAAAGCCTTGCCTTTCCTGACAGCGTAGTTTTTCAAAATTCTACTCACTGGTATGCACTTGACTCCATAGAGGCCGTGTTTTCTTTTTTCATTCTTCCACTGTCCATCTTCTTTGCTCTTTTAACCCTCCTATTTCTCTTTATTTCTTCCAATTCTCTCTTATTATTGAAGACGATATTGAAAAACATTATTATTTGACTACAATGCTTGCTTTTTTTATGTCTCCACTTTGCAAAATTTTTACCTAGATCTCCTCCTTCAGGGTCGACCCAAGTTTTCTGAGGTGACCGTCGGGTGCTCCTAACCCCGTTGTCTTAGCCTGCCTGAGAAACACTTAAGTCCAGTCCAGTAAGGGCCAATGGTCCTCTTAAAAAGCATAATGACTATAATGTCAATTATGTTTATTTATTATAAGGATTTCTCACCAAAATAATATAATACGTGCCATTAAGTGTTTCACATAGTGGCCTCTTTAGACATATCAGTCCACATTTGTAATGAGGTAGAAATAGTCTAAAGAGTGAAATAATTTTCAAAGTTTTAGATAGACCTTTCTTCTTATGAAAGGCCTGATATGTTCTTCAACCTCACTGAAACACAATATCATTTATTTTATAGATTTCCAGGCCATGGGGTTGAAGAAAGGGATGTTTTTCAACCCAGATCCTTACTTGAAGATTTCCATCCAGCCTGGGAAGCACAGCATCTTCCCTGCCCTCCCTCACCATGGGCAGGAGAGGAGATCTAAAATCATAGGCAACACTGTGAACCCCATCTGGCAGACTGAGGTGAGTGCCGTGGGCCCTGAAAAGAAGCCTGTGTGTTATTACCTGCTTTCTTGGAGCCCTAAACTCTGCTGCTAAGTTCGTGGCTCTCTTGGTCTTAGAAGGGAGTCATGTTCTCTCTGGGTTCCTGATAGAGTCACTCAAGGCAGTACCCACCCTCAGTAGCCATATAGTAGTCATTTAATTTGGTTCTAAACCTGTGCCTGAAAACAGGACAGCCTTTTCCTCTGCCTTTCTGTGGGAGAAGGAAGAGAAGCATTTTGATCTGAGAATTCTCACACTCTTTTCATACATGTGGTCCTTAAGCAAGTGTGCCAGATTTTAAATGTGTCCCTCTGGATTCTAAAACTTGGGACGGGTAAATCAATAGGCCTAGAATAAGGCCTACAATACAAATTGCTTGATTTAAATAGACAGGAAGCATAATTGTTCATCCCATCTTCCTGGTTTACACAGTGGTAGGCAACTTGCTGGCACACTGAATAGTTTGTTTCGTCTAATGAAGGCCCTTCACTCCTAAATGTGCCCCTTCCACCATTCAGGAGCTAGAAGGTTTCTCAACAAAGCCACGTGTCAGGCTCAGCCTCACAGTGACTAAGTCCTACCCTTGAGAGCTAGCAGAAAGTTGCCTAGTTCGTTAGCTTTAGCATGAGGGTATAACCTGCAAACTGTGTGGGTTGGGGAGCAGGGAAGTTTAGGGCATGAGTGTGGCACCGTCTAACGCAGTAAAAGTGCAGCTTTGCCGTCACACAAACCTTGGTTCAAATCTCAGATTGGCCAAATGAGTTATACTAGTTGTATAACTGAGAAATCAGTTATCCTCAATCTGGGCCTCGGATTATCTTCATTTGGGCTCTTACTGCTGGAAATGTACCACTCCAACTGAAGACATTTGCTTTGGACAAGATTCCTTCCTTAATTCTTCCAAGTAGACCATCTCCGATGTAGAGCCCTCAAGCATCCTTAATTAAATATTTGGGGGCAAATGCTTTTTCATTGTCTCTTAAATTATACCCTACTTCCTAGGCTTAATTAACCCTGACCCAGAAGAGCAGCATTAGAGCTTCTAAGTGTACATAAGGGAAGTGGAATTATACTTTAAACTTCCTACTGCTTTGGTTGAGATTTTTTTAAAGAAAGACTGCAATGTGTGCCTATCCTGGTTACTGCCAGCAGAGCTTACAGCTACGTGTGTTTTGGGTAGGCCACTTCATCTGGGAGTCATCATGTCAGGGTGGGGCTAGTGTAGCTCCCCTGGCTAATCCCATGTGGATTGAGTGCTTTGACCCAGGAAAAATGGCATCTGGGGCAGTGTGGGAGAGGGACTGGATACAGGGACATTAGTGGCTGTCCTTTTAGACTTTCCCCGAAGCCACACAACTCATTCTCTATATGATTCTGGCATCCTATGACCCGCCATCCCTCCACTGGAGCCAAGGGTGAGTGCCTGCAAGCAAGATTTTGTGTGATTTGCCTTTAAGAGGATGCCTGGGTTTCCAGCAGCCTTCCATCTGATCAGGGCAGAGAGAATCCCCGATGATTTTCACAGCCAGATGCTATGTGGGCTCCTATTCCCAGCACTGGTGCTCTAAGCTGGGAACCTGGCATAGGGTTGAGACCCCTCCCTCCTCAGGGGAAACCTCTGCAACGGAGATACGGCTCCAGATTCTCAACTTCTGCACACGAGTGTGCGCCAGACCATTTTCTGTCTCAGCCCCTCCTAACAGTCTCTATGTGGCTGCTTCTGTGGATCCTCACTTATAGGACTTCTGTTCAGCTAGTCTTCAGATGGTTGTCCAGGTGCATTATTGATAATTAATTTGTAATTTTTATGTGGACAGCCATGTGAAGACTAACTGTTGTTGCCTTTATTTAAAAAGTTATATAATATGCTGTTTTTAAAAATTGCTCAGTGAAAAAGATCTGCTTTCTCCCTTCCCCTACCAGCCCACTTCCTAGAGTTCAGTTTGGAGTGTACCGCTCCAGGCATTTTATCCGCAAAGTATAATGGAATCTCACTCTTCATATTCTTCAATGTCTTGCTTCTTCACTTAGTTTTTCAAGTATCTTTTCATGTCAGTGCATAGTTATTTGCCTGTTTCTTTTTAATGACAGCAGTGAGTTTTCTGTTTCAAAGATTTATCATACTCCACTTATCTGGTTCCCTATTAGATATGTTTAGTCTTTCCAGTCTTTTGCTATTGCTAATACTGCTCCATTGAACCCCCCATAAAAATATCTGTTTTTCATGCTTGTGCAAGTTAATGCAGAAGGAAAATGCCTAGAAGTAGAATTCTGCTTTGAATGGAATTTGCAGTTTAAATGCCAGTAAATATTGCCAATTCTCTTCCCAAAGATCAAATCAATTTACATTCCCATCAATACAGTGTGGGAGTTCTTGTCTTTTCCCACTCTCAAGAGCATGAGGCATGACCAATCTTTTAAAAAATCTCTGCTATTTTAATCATGAAAAAAAGATACTGAATTATTTATTAAAAGTGCATTTCCTTTATTATAAGTGATTTTGTGTGTTTTTCTTACTTTAAGAATTTTGATACCTTTAGTCAAGTGTGGTGGTGCCTGATAGCATTCTTCCTTCTTAAGGTGACTTGATTTTATTATTTGAATCTCAGAGAATAACCTTATTTTTAAGCACTGAAGAAGCACCTCATCATTGCCGTTACTCATTTACTGAGTAAACAGGGCTTGGAGCATTCTAAGACCTTGATACATATACAGGGTGTCCCCCAAAAATGGATACACGCACTTTGAACAATTATAAAGACAATGTTTAACAAAATACATTTCATTTTTAAAATTGAGCTATCAACTGTGTATACATTTTGGGGGGCACCCCGTATATATACTGCCATTGGGATATTTTACCATGACTTTATTATCCAAGCAGATGGCCTGGGAATTGGCCAGCCTTCACAACTCTCAGCTAACTGATACCACATATTATTTCATTGCAGCAATTCAGCTTTGTGTCATTGCCCACTGACGTGCTGGAAATTGAGGTGAAGGACAAGTTTGCCAAGAGCCGGCCCATCATCAAGCGCTTCTTGGGAAAGCTTTCAATGCCGGTTCAGAGGCTCCTGGAAAGACACGCCATAGGGTAAACATGCGATTGAAATCCTTATCAGATATTCTCAAGTAGCAGTCAGCAAACTGCAGCCCATGGCCAAATCTGGCCCAACACCTGTTTCTGTGCAGCCATGAGCTTTTTACACTTTTAATGGTTGGGAAAAAGCAAAGGAAGAGTAATAGTTTGTGATACATTAAAATGATGTGAAATTCATTTCTGTTTCTATCAATGAAAGTTTTATTTGAACACAGCTATGCTTATTAGTTTACTTATTGCCTAGGCTGCTATCATGTTACAATGGCAGAGTTGAGTGGTTGGGACTGAGACCTCATTACCTACAAAGCCGAAAATATTTACTAACAGGCACTTCACAGAAAATTTGCCAACTTGTGTTCTAAAGAGAGAAAAAAAGATATGAATTTCCTTTGCTTGGTTTTTCTGTGTACGTTGACATTTTCCAAGTACACCCTTAATAACGGACAGTGCCAGCAGCAGGTGCAGGTCTTGCAGTAAATATACAATGTCTAAGAGAGGATACAATCGTGGATACTGAAGACCCTGTGGAGTGCTTCAGAAAGGGAACTGCTTCTTTAAAATACTTGATAAGGATTTTCTTGAGCTTTTTCATTGTTGTTGATCACATGTACATTCCCATGTTTACCTTAAAACCATCTTATAAGTACTGGAGGAGATTATCACTTCCAAATAGCAGGGCCACCCTGGCATGCCTGTCTCATCTGCTGTATGGTCTTTGGATGAAGAAGTATTGGTCAGATCTGTGATGATGCTTATTTCCTTCCAGGGATAGGGTGGTCAGCTACACACTCGGCCGCAGGCTCCCAACAGATCATGTGAGTGGACAGCTGCAATTCCGATTTGAGATCACTTCCTCCATCCACCCAGGTATTTTCAGCATGAACTTCATGTCTTGTCCTAGCCTAATGTCATGTGGTTAGACAGTGGAGTAGAGATTAACAATAATACCAACGTAGGTATGAAGCCATGTCTAATTTATCATTTTACGTCCAGCACCCACATAGGAGATGCACAATCGATGTTTAAACATTGCATACATGAGTGACTTAATGAAGGAAGTTGAGCATGAATTAATGTGATACATGTCTTGTTGAAGAACTGCGATTGTACAGTGGTTTAACAGAAAATTTCAGAATCATCCAGTGTTCAGCTTTTCAAGGCAAAGCACATTTCCAAATAAGAATGATAAAATGCCTCATAATTCCACTTTTTCTCTTCGCCTGCAACTAAGTGCAGATCACGCTGAGAATTGTTTGGTCCTTCTAGCCTGCATTTATGAGTTGCTGTTAAAGCTAATGAAACTTTTGAGAACTCAGCGTCTGGAGTTTATCACTGCCCACTCATTAAACTCCAGTGTCTATGCCCATATATAATACAGAATGTAAGAAAACATCCGACTGGGTTTTTTTCCTTTCAAATTTAGCCTTTTCTCTATTATAAGAATAAAATGGACTCTTTTGTGTAGCAGTAAAGACAAACTTATGGCTCACCAGAGAGGTGATTTTCCTTCAACGTGTGAATTGCACTAGTGTGTTTGAAATGGGACGTTCACATCTTACAGGAATCAAATAAAGCAAGCAAGTGGGAGAAGGTAGAGGTACACCAGATTGCTACTCCTTGAATAGTTGCTTCGTGTGGAGACCTGGTTTATTCTTTCACTGCAATAATCTCCAAATGTTGGAAGCCTTCCAGTCCTAATAACTGAATAAGTGGTTGCTGCCATCATCTAGCCCTTTTCTACTCTAGTTGCCAAGAACCCAACTTACCCATTCGGCCACCCTGGGGGACACAGCCATAGGAAATACTCTGAGCAAGTACAATTAGCCTTGCCTGGGATCAGCAAGGAACTGTAAACACCCCTCCCCCACCTCTCAAGTCTTCACATAACAAACATTGTTGAGAACTGTTTGTTAGCTTTCGGTTATTTTAACCAAAAAATGAATTCCCTTAAAACAGAACTCAGGAATATGACTGTAGATCTGTAAATTTTCATTAATACAAAAGAACTCATTTTTTTTTCAAGTGTTTAAAGCACAATCCTGGCATTTGCCGATAGTCCTGGCTTCATTAATAATAGTGTCCCCCTTCACTCTCAATAGTGTCTCTTCTTGAACAATAAATTATATGATCACAATAAAGGAAATGGGATCAAGCATGTAGGAGGGAGAGGAGCTAGCCTTTATTTATTTATTTATTTATTTATTTATTTTACTTGTCCGCCTATGTTCCACCCTTTTGGCAACCACCAGCTTGTTCTGCATATCTATGGGTTTGGTTTTGTTTCTTAATTTGTTTTGTATTGTTAGATTCCATATAAATGAAATCATACAGTATTTGTCTTCCTCCATCTTGACTTATTTCACTTAGTTCATAATATCCTCCAGGCCCATCCATATTGTCATAATTGACAAGATTTAATTCTTTTTATTGCTGAGTAATACTCCATTGTGTATATATAACACATCTTTATCCACTCATCTATCAATGGTGACCTGGATTTTTTCCCATACCTTGGCTATTATAAATAACTAGAGGCCCGGTGCACGAGATTCGTGCACTGGATGGGTTGGGGGAGGGGGGGTTGGTCCCTCAGCCCAGCCTGCGCCCGCTCGCAGTCCGGAACCCCTTGGGGGATGTCCACCTGCCGGCTTACTATGACTAAGCCGGCAGTCAGACATCCCTCTTGCAGTCCGAGGCTCTCACAGTCCGGGACCCCTCGCTCCTTACTGCCCACCCGCAGCAGAGGGGTCCTCGCTCCTTACTGCCCACTGCCGCTGCACTCGCCTGCCCCTTCTGGCTGAGCGGCATGCTCCCTGTGGGGCAGCTCCTGCACTGAGCGTCTGCCCCCTGGTGGTCAGTGCACATCATAGCGACCAGTTGTTCTGCAGTTCAGTTGATTTGCATATTATGCTTTTATTATATAGGATGCTGCAATGAACATAGGTTCTTTTTAAATTAATGTTTTTGTTTTCCTCAGATAAATACCCAAAAGTTATATTGCTGGATTATATGGTAGTTCTATTTTTAATTATTTGAGAAATATCTATACCATTTTCCATAGTGACTGTACCAATTTGTAATCTCACCAACACCAACAATGAATGAGGCTTCCTTTTTTTCTCCACATCCTTGTTGGAACTTATGTCTTAATTTTTTATGATAGTCATTTTGAGAAGTGTGAAGTGATATCTTATTGAGGTTTTATTTTCCATTACTTGGATGATTACTATGGGCCATTTGTATATGCTCTTTGGAGAAATGTCTATTCGGGTCCTCTGCCCATTTTTTAATTTCATTGTTTTTTATAGTAAGGTGTATGAATTCCTTATGTTTTTTTATGTTAATCCCTTATCAGATATAGCATTTGCAAATATCTTCTCCTATTTAGAAGGTTGTCTTTTCCTTTTGTTGATGGTTTCCTTTGTTGTGCAAAAACATTTTAATTTGATGTGTTTATTTTTGCTTTTGTTGTCCTGGCCCAAGGAGAAATATACCAGAAGGTATTGCTAAGAGCAATGCCAAAGACTTTAGTGCCTATGTTTTCTTGTAGGAGTTTTATATTTTCAGGTTTTATATTTTAATCTATTTTGAGTTTATTTGTAATATGGTATAAGAAAGTGGTCCGGTTTAATTTCTGTGCATGTACCTGTCCAGTTTTCCCAGAACCACTTATTGTTGAAACAGTCTTTACTGCATTGTATATTCTTGCCTCCCCTGTCATAGATTAACACTATATATAAGTGAGGATTTATCTCTGGGCTCTCTATTCTATTCCATTGATCTATGTGTCTGTTTTTGTGCCATTCCCATACTGTTCTTATTTTTATAGTTTTATAGTATAATTTGAAATCAGAGAGTGTGTTACCTCCTACTTTGTTCTTTTTCAAGATTACTTTGGCTATCTGGGAGTCTTTTGTGGTTCCATGTAAATTTTAGGATTCGTTTTTTCCTGAATGACCACTTCTCAATGCAGGAGCTGCCCCCTGGTGGTCAGTGTGCTCCCACAGTAGGAGCACTGCTCAGCTGACCAGGATGAGCGGAGCTCCCACAGCCGGCTGCTCCCTACAGGCCATGCCCCCCCACCAGTGCACGAACCCGTGCACGGGGCCTCTAGTCCTAAAATAAAAATCCCTTGGGAAGGCTTACATGTCCATGTCTGGCAGAGTACACTAACACCAACTGCTTTCTTGTGGAAGGAGTGACATTTTCCTCTTGCCCGCAGATGATGAAGAGATGTCCCTGAGTACGGAAGCTGAGCCAGCGGGCATGCCGGGCAGCCCTATGAACAGCCTGGTGGCGAGCAACCCTGGGGACCCTCTGCAGGAGGCACCAGAGCCCTCGGGAAGCTCCGAGTCAGAGAAGCCGAGGGAGGACAGCGCCCTGGTCTCCGAAGGGAGCGCGAGCCTGGGGCTTGCCAAGCCCGTGGAGGAAGCGGCAGGTACCACTGAGGCAGGAGACAACCTCGACACAGTCTCTGTGGGACCTGATGGGGCTGGGGAGCTTCTGGGCCTGGGGCGAGAGGACACGGAGCCCACCCTGAGTGCAGAAGAGGTGGCCGAGGGGCTGGCCCTGGGAGGGGAGGCACCCCCACCGGAGCTGCTGGAGGACAGTGAAGCCCAAGACCGCCCTGGGGATCCTGTGGCAGAGGAAGCGGCCCAAGAGGAAAAGGGACAGGCGGCGGAGGAGGAGGAAGAGGGCGATGGGCACGTGCCTGCCCTGGGAGCCCCGGAGGACAGGCTGCAGCTGCGCGCCTCGGTGAAGAGGAAGAACAGGCCCTGCTCCCTGCCGGTGTCGGAGCTGGAGACCGTGATCGCGTCGGCCTGCAGCGACCCAGAGACGCCGCGCACTCACTACATCCGCATCCACACGCTGCTGCACAGCCTGCCCCTGGTCCAGGCCGGCAGCCCCGCGGAGGACGACGGCGCGGAGGAAGAGCCCACTCTCAAGGACACGGTGGAGAAGGACGGGCTCAGCGACGGGGACACGGTAGCTGCTGAGCCGCCTGCCCTGGAGGAGGGGTTGGAGGATCCTGAGGGGGCTACTCTCGGTACGATGGCCCCCGGCCTCTCCGGCGTGGCCAACAGCTCGGCCCCGGATGGCGACACGCACCCCAGCACGGGCAGTGAGAGCGACTACAGCCCCAGGCAAGGCGGGGACCACAGCTTCGAGGGCTGCGACGCGTCCTGCTGCAGCCCCTCCTGCTACAGCTCCTCCTGCTACAGCACGTCCTGCTACAGCAGCTCCTGCTACAGCAGCTCCTGCTACAACGGCAACAGGTTCACCAGCCACACCCGCTTCTCCTCCATGGACAGCGCCAAGATCTCCGAGAGCACCGTCTTCTCCTCGCAAGAGGAGGAGGAGGAGGAGAACAGCGCGTTCGAGTCGGTGCCGGACGCGGTGCAGAGCCCAGAGCTGGACCTGGAGTCTGTGAACGCGGCCGGGCCGTGGCACGACCAGCCAGCCGCCCCCACCGGGAGCATGAACGAGAGTGTGGCAAGAACCGCGGATGGTGTGGAATCCCCCATGGCGGGGCCAAGCAGTCGGAGAGAAGGTTAGACCTCAAACCTGATCAGAGTGAGAATAGGACCACGAGGGGGACACGGGGCTAACCAACCTGGTTTAAAAAGAAGAGGGAGAGGATCAGTCCCACATGGGGTTGCTGCCGATGTGTGTGCCTGTCCTGTGTGTGTATCTGTGACTACCAATAGCTTCCACCCCACCACCTCAGATATACACCAAGAGTTACCAGAGCACACATGTGAGTGCGCACGTGTGCATGTGACTCTCTGTTTAACTTATCACTGTGGCTAGTGTATATGTTACCCTTCCTGCCCTGACAGCAGCCAGAGCATCAAGGCTAGTATCCAACGACATGAGCAGAAATGGTGGATGATGTGGAAATATCTGCTGACTTCCCAAAATTTATTAAAGCTTAGCAATGAATATAATATAAGTGGAGGCACATTGATTTTACCTCTATTTTAGAATTTAACTAGTCTGTGTACATATAGATAGGAATAGTCTACCTATCTTTCATAACTGGTCATTATTTCTGATGCTCAATTCTGTTTATTGTTGTTGCTTTTCTCTTTTTTAGTGTTTCTATGTTTTGTTTTTTCTTTTATTTATTTATTTTTTAGGCTGATTGGAAGGGAAGGATAATATGAATGCGCAAATTGCTTTGTTTCAAATAAGATTCTAATTCAAAAGATGCCACCTCTAGTTTTAAAATGTGTTCTGTATTTTAACCACAAAAGGTCCTTCTTAGTCTTGCTTTCGAATCATGCGTGAAATTAATTTGCATTTCCTTATCCAGAGTTGGGAACCATCTTCCAGGCAAGTGACAGTGACATAGGGGGAAATAGTTCAAAGGTCATACAACAAGATGAAATAACTTGGTTGTTTTAAAAGAGAGACATACAGATTCTGCTACTTTGCTGTTCTGCTGTTTCAGTTAGGCCCCAAATAAAATGTGGTGGTGTGGTCTCTAAATTGCAAACTCATGAAGGACCAGAATTGTATCTTCTCTGTGTTTGCGTTCTCGGCACCTAAAGAAATGCCTGGCACCTACACATTTTTATAGGAACTAAAGTGAGCACACAAAAATAATTTTAAGTCAACAATGCCCAATTCTACATTTCAGAGAAAGAAGGAGTGAGGAAAAGTGGCACATGTGATCAGAAGACGTGCAAAAAAATGGAAAAGGAAGAGAAACGCAGGGAGGAAAACTGTAGTGACATACAGTCCCCACAGGGGAGACGATGTGGAAGGAACCCATGGCAGTGAAAATGCGGTGGTCCGTTTCCTTCTTCAGCAAGGATGTTGTGAATATCTTCTTTGTTCTGGGCCCAATGCTCTATGCTGGGTACAGGAAAACAGACCAGCGTCAGACAGCATATGGAAATACTCAATAATTAAACACAATTAAAAATAATTACCATATAAAGAGATTTGGGGACATACACATAAAAGAGTATAACTAGGAGCTGGCAGGAATATTTTAGACTAGAGGTCGGCAAACTTTTTCCATAAAGGGCCAGAGTGTAAATATTTTAGGCTTTGTGACGCAAGAGGCAAAATCTAGCAACTATTCACACCCAAAGGCTATTTTTCTAATACTTTTACATTTTAAAATGTAATCATTCTTACCTCAGAAACATGCAAAAATGAAGTTGGATTTGTTATTTGTCAACCATTGTAGCCTATGGGGTATATTTTGACCACCTTGTTGGAAGACAGTCCACACACAGTTCATTGAAAATTAGCTCAGCATACACTGTCCACACCCTTATCCATCAGGGGAAAGCTGTTCCTCACAGAAAGGTGCTTCAGGGCCATAGCAGAAATCTTTGCAGTGCAACTTCTAAAGAAATGTCTAAATTCCTGAATTCTGCAGGCTGTAAACTCAGAAAAGGTTAAGAAGAACCTGAACACTTTCCTATGGTGATCACCAGGGGCAATACGAAGATTTCTGAGAGGAACTGTTGATCTCATGAAAGCTGCACATGTGTTAGCATGTGACTTCTTTGCAGCCAGTCTTCCCTCCATCAGTAGTGAGTCCTGAGCTAAGGGTGTCCGTGTGGTCGATCTGTCCCTCACTGGCATTTGCTCCAAGAAAGCAGGGCTTCGACGCAACCCACCTAATATGTGCATGTGGGCCCTGTTCTCCCATTAGAATCACTATTGCCCCTTGCCGTGACTTCTCAGGTTGCAAATTCGTTCACTGCCTAGGCCACGGTAAACTGACTGCGCACATGCCCAGGTAGATGAGTCTACAGCAGCTTATGGAGGATGTATTCTTTATCTTTATCTACTTTTTGTTTCTTTTCCCTTTTATAAAATCCTCCTTTTTAAACCTCAACATTCAATAGTTTTTAAAAACTTTCTTAAGATCAGATTATAAGAGCACTGTAATGTGATGATGACCTCAGGCCCTGGAGCTTGGGTTGATTATATCCAGTCCCACCACTTCCTGGCCATGATACCGTAGCCAAGTTACGTAACTGCTCTATGCTTATTTGTAAAACGGGTGTGAATGTAGAATCTACCTCAAAGGGTTATTGGAAGGACTAAATGCGGATATGTGTAAAGCCCTCAGCCTCCCCTTGAGTGAGGCTTCTTCGAGGCAGATAAGCAGTGAGACTAACTTTTCAAGTGGAATATATTTCCCTCTTGGAAGGTCTAGACGTTCTGAACACTTGCTTTGTGTTTGAGGCAAGGGTGATGGTGTGGCGCGTCAGCCTCTTGCCGAACAAAATCCTTTGCCTCTTCTGTGTGCTCCATTCTTTCAGTTGGCTGAGCTGTGTCAGTCATGTGACTCATTTGCTTGGGGTTCACAAGCAGGTAGGGTCAGCTCCATTAACCCCTGCAAGCAGCAATATTCCGCTAGCTTGGAGGAGTGATTAATCTGATTGGTTGAATTAATTACAGGAGGTAAGTTTGTTCTTTTTTTTTTTTTTCAAGAAACTAAATTAAAAGCACAGAAGCTGATGACATAACAACTGTACCATCGTTTTTGGTTTCTGACATGAAGCATATATAAAAACAGACATGAGTGTGAGATCCACTAAAAAACAGAGCACATCTTTGAAACAGGAATCAGTTCACAAGGAGCTGTGCACTGACACCAGGGGCACACACCTTCCTTGGCTTTCCTCAAAGTCTCAGAGACCCCAAGCATTTGAGTAACAGAGCTCACACGAGAAATTGTGTCATATGTTTAAACTTAGAAGGGCCCTTTGTTCCGAAATACCTCTCTGTTTTTGTTTTTCTGTTAGCTCTAGGAATGACGCTGCTAAATTAAAACCATCTAACTTCCTTCCTAATTAATTTATTTTACTTTTTATCAGTTCTATGGATCTAGAGTTAGAAGAAATAATCATCCTGTCCGTGTATGGGCATTCTGGAAAATATTTGAAACTTGAAATCCCACAAAGATCTTAACTGCTGTTTTTTACAGTTTCTCTCCTTTTTGACCTAAGGGATAATGGAACACTTAATGTTTGCATCAGCCAAGAAGGACAGAAGAAGGAAAAGGTCTGACCTTTGTCCTCTGGCCAATATGGGCTATTGCAATAAAGCCAGGATCATGTGAGGTAGGAAGGGGAGGAGACACCAGTCTGAATGGAAGCTGTCTCTTGGCCCGTGGGCCTGTAGCTCTCCAAAGACCAAGAGCAATTACTTTTGCAATTGCTGGTGCTGTAGGCCTCCCATCCACATGGCCACTCTACACACAGTGTTACCGGAGCCTGAGAACATCATGAAATAGGAGCACCATTTTAGATCATTGTTCAGTTCATTATAAGCCTGACCGACAATATTATTAGATATGCCTGTAATAATTGGGGCATGCATTCTGTGGATATGTTTATCTCTAAAATGTGTCCATGTTCGTCTCTCTTCTTCCTCCTATCTTACTTCTGTGTTTCAAGTTTTCTTGTCTCAGTCTTCCTACCTTTTATCTACTTCTTTTGTCTTTTGTCCTTTTCTCTTTCCAGAACACTCTGGCTTTTCTGATTCTTCCTCAAAATCACCTGCTACAATCACAAAATCCCATGGCTCCTCCCCACCCCACCCCCACCCCCAACCCTAACCATTAATTTCTATACTAAAGGAATTTACCTTCTTGACCCACCGGTTCCTTAACCCCTTCTTGGAAAGACACCAAGTTTCATTCCAAAAACAAAATCTGAAAAACAGCCTCTTGGCAGCCCTTTGATGAAACCTATTCAAACAAGAGCAATGATTTTGCACTGGCCCACTGAACTGTCATGGGACCTCAGGAATGCTGCCCTTCCCTCAAACAGGCCTATTTCTTTGGCTGGGCTCAAGTCAGGCTCTGCTAGTTTTCTTTCTGATGCCACCTTTCTATCAAGATAATTCAGGTGGTTACAGAATCAGACCTTGATCCGACATATTGGTCTATGTGGTATAGATCATTGTCATGAAGTGTTTGGCTATGTTCTTTGGAGTTTAAAAAAAATAATTAACTCTGTTCCTTCTTTCATGAATGACTGTGATTGTAGTAAATGGACACAAAAATAGATTGCCCATTCTTTGGAATTTTTTCTGTAGCAGTTTGTTTTACGGTCCTGGTTTTTTTAACACGTTGCCATAGCAATGAGTGAACCTGAATGTCTTGACTATCTTGTCCATAGGTGAATGCCCTATACTCCATAATTCCCAGCCAGTAAACCAGCTTCCTTCCTTGAGGCCTGAACATCATCACTACCCAACAATCGATGAGCCTCTTCCACCAAGTAAGCTTTAGTTTTTAAACTCTATGTCTTAACTCTTCCTACCAAATCTAAACAGGTCAGTATGAACTTGTATGTAAACATCCAAACTCTTCCTCAACTCCATAGCTTACACTGTTATAAAAAACCAATATGGCACCTACTATAAAAATTGTTTGGGTTTTTTAACTAATGGTTTCAGGATGTGATCTGGAAAAGATAACCTAGTGCTCCTCAACTTCTGAAATGGAGAGCATTTCTTAATAAGTACTTGCAAACTGTACATAATCCTTAAGTCCCAAATTTTACTATTTCATATTTTAAAATTTGCAGTTCAAGATTGAATAGTCCTACTGTTCGCCATTGGACCTGTTATGTAACAAGCATCTCCATATAATAAAACATTTCAACTCATTAGGACCCATGAACTTGCATTTTCCTTGCTATAGCTTGTATCGATAGGGGACAGCCTCCAATTTCTTCTGTAGTTCTTAGGGTTGTTCAGAAAAACATCGTCTTCTTTAGGGATAGCATTCAATATCATTTTCTCCTGATAACTGTAATAAGCAATAATTATCCAACTAGTCATTTGAACTTGGGAAAATCATTTACTCTCTCAGAGACTGAGTTTTCTTATTTGTAAAGTAAAGCTTTAATTTCCTCACTAAATGCTAGATTTGGAGTAGGGAGTCTCTAGATATCATTCTATCCTTAACCTTATAATAATCCATGATAATAAATTTGCAAGAAGGAACTGACACCCCACTTAACATCACATATGTTCACGAGTTCTGTAATATCTCTGTTTTGGTTTAGGCTTGCTTTTCAAGCAAAGATAACCTTTAAGATTTGATAAATTCTATAGATCTTTCCAGGATGCTAAGTGTCAATGTTTCCTTACATTCTGTTGCTTGTGCTTACATTAAGTGGTAACAGTTTTGAGAAGGAAAATTGCGTATCCTTTAATTCATCTATTCTTGCTAATGTGATATATTTTTCATTTATACCATTTTTCTCTGAGTCAGTTGTAATTTATCAGTTAGAAAACAGTGAATACCTTTAATATGTAGACATTTAAAAGAAAGCCATTTTGGGGAGGTAGGCCAAGCCAAACATTATATTCTTTAACTATTGACACCTGATTTGTTTATTTATTTATACATTGACTTATGGGTATTCCATAAATGAATAGTAAAATTTCAGTGCCACTATAGATACTTCCTAGTTGACACTTATCTGATAAATATTTATAGCATGTTTTCTCCAGGGAAAGAACACTTGCCCCACAACAAATAACCTATCAGTGCATATGCGCATGAATTGACTTCCAATCCATGCAAGAATAATTACTAGTTATACTAGATATTATTAAAAAATGAATATATAAGTCTAATTTAAATAATTGCATCAGCAGGTTTAAATAATGGAAATAAAATTTCCAGACAGGTTTTGATTTTCTATTCATGTGATACTTAAAAATATTGGAAAAGTTTTAGTGAAGCCTAATAACTGAATTTACTTAGATAATCTCAAATAGTACATGGATGATTTCACTCGTTCAACAAATATTCATGGAATCCTTACTCTGTGTGAGGTATCACACAGACAAAGGTCTCTGCCGTGGAGTTTACAGTCTAGTCTGGCAGAGACAGATAATAAAACAATTTTTTTAAAAAAGGAAATAATATAACATGTTTAAAGACGATAAGTGCTACCAAAAAACAGAAGCAGAGCAGGATAAGGACATCTGGAGTTGGTGGTGGCTGGTTTGCCATTTTAAATAGGGTGATCAGGTAAGCTTCATTGAGGAGGCAACCTTTGATGCTAGACTTAGAGGAGGCAAAAGAGTAATCCAGGCAAGTATTGAGGAGGGCGAGCTTTCTGGAAAAAACTTACAGCCTGCCTAGTGGGTTTGAGGAACAGCAAGGAGACCAGTGTGTCTGGAGTAGGTGATGACGTCAAGGAGATACTGGAACCCAGATCACATAGGGCCTGGTAGACCTCTTAAGGACTTTGGCTTTGACTCTGGATGAAAGGAGGGCACTGCAGGGTTTTGAACAGAGAAGAGGTGTTGTCTGACATAGGTATTAAAGGCTTTCCTGTGGTTACTGTGTTGGCATTAAATTGTGAGAAGGAAAGATGGAAGCATGAGACCCAACAAAAGTTTACTGCAGTGACCGAGGTAAGAGATAATGGTGGCTTGGGCCAGTGGGGAGCCAGAGAGGTGATGAGGAGTGGCCAGATTCTGGACATGTATTTTGTGGGTAGATTTGCTGACAGATTGGAAGTGATGTGTAAGAGAAAGATAGAAGTCAAGAATGTCCTCAAGAATCTTCACCTGGAAGGATGGAGTTGCTTTAACTCAGATGGGAAGGGAAGGCTGCAGACAGAGCAGGTTTGGCTGGGAAAACTCTGAAGCTTGGTTTTGATCGCATTATATTTGAGATGTCATCCCGGTAGGGATAGCAAGTAGGCGGTGGGATGTATGACTGAAGTTCAAGAGAAAAATCAAGACTACAAACATGGTATTGAAATTGTTAAAAAGAAAAAAAGGACAATTTTACTGTTGCTAGTATAGTAACTAAAAATGATACTTTATTAGGCTCTACATTGTTCTTAGACTGCATGGAAAATATATAATTTAGCATATGATAGGTGCTTCAGCTACACATGAATTGATGAAAATACATTATTCTAACTTGCCCCGGCATCAGTAAGCTATCGTTTTCAGGAGTTGTTTAGGCTTCACATTGCCAAGTCCAGCAGGGCATGCTGAGGCCTGAAGTTCCATTTGGAAATTTTCTCTTCATACAATATGGTTTATAAAATATGTGAAAGTTAATTCTTAACAAAGCAACCCATAAAACATGCTTATAAGCTCTAATTCTACTTTATTATTTTCTGAATATTTATAAAAGTATATGATTAGCACTGTGTATCCCATATATTGACAAAAGGACCTATCTGTCTGGCTTTTATCTTTTTATATTAGTGATTTGGAAATACTGAAACTTGCAGAGAGAAATTATTGCTGCACCATTCTCTAGGTGTGTTTTTTTCCTTAGAGAATTTATGAAACTAGAAAGAATCCTTTCTTTACTTTGAGTGCCTGGAGGGCAAGGGTGTGTTACTCACCGATGAGCCCTCAGGACCTGGCATAGTTTCTAGTTCATAGTGAATGCTAAGAGGAGTTTGTTCAGCTGAATTGAATAGCACAATACTCTTTTAAGGTTAATACTCATTTTTTGTTGGATTCAAGAAAAAGAAAGTGTCTGATTGCTACTAGTTTAGGAATCACGGAAATTTCAAAAATTTTGGTTCAAGATTAATTAATTATCTAGTAGTTACATATACACACAATTTTATCAACAAGTTCACTAACATTTACTACTAACAGTTGATAACTGGATTATCTAGAAGTTAATTTTAATCAAAACTTCCTAGACTTGATTTATGCAATCTGACATTTTTCCTTCATTTTGTTTTCCAAGTTAAATTTGGTGTTTTCTAGTATTTTGATTTTCTTCAGGCATTTTAGCAATTCCTCAGTTAAATGTCAGACATAAGCAATAATATTCACAAACATATGCCGTGCACCTATAAAACCATAAATATACTAAATATATTGAGTTTTTTATTTAAAAAAATTGAGAGTTGCTATGTCATTACCTGAATGATAATTTTTCAATAGAATTATTAGTATCTGATCTACTCCCAGAGCTATGGCTTTTCTCACTTAAAAGGCTGAATGATTTCCCTCCATTTGAAATTATTTTTGCTTTTTCTTCAGTATAACTTTTCAGCATAATTTCATCATGAAGCTTCTATTTCCACCACATTTTTACATGTGAACTCTAAAAGCTTTGCCCATTTTGGTATAGGAGATATTGCTTTTTCATGTTCAGCTTAGATATGTATATATTACTGCCAGCTCTTTCAGCTTTGAGGACTTTTTCATCTACCCCTCCCTACCCAGCCCCTACATCTATTATGTCGTGTATAACTATTTCCATCTTTAATTTGGCTATTGTTTAAATTTGAGAAGCAAAGGAACTTACATTTACCTTGGGCTCCCTCTACTGTTTGGGATGCTGGTTTATCAACAAAGAGGTATTTAAAAGATGATGTTTGTTAATAGTTGTTATCAGTTTTGTTTTATTTTGGTCAAGAAATATTTGGCAGCCACAGTGGGTTGAATATACACTGTCAATTTACAACTTATCAAAAGGATGGTTTGAAATCCTAGGTATCAAATCCCCCTCAAGAGAAATGACAATCAACTAAAGTTGCCAGGTATTAGATGGAGATCATCTAAAGTTGCACGTACAGTATTTTATAACTATAGTTAAAACTGGTTTTAACTACAATCTTCTGGCTGTCATTTGAGTAGCCAATAAGACTGACAGGATGAAAAGATTTAAAGAAAGAAATAAAATACACATTAGACATTTTCTTGAGAAATTATTAAAATTTAACATAGGTCATAGTTGAGGTACTACAGTTACTGTTTAAAATGGCCCAGCAGAGAATATGAACCCAGTAGGCTCTTTTCTGGAATGTCAATGCCTCAGAAGTCATGGCAGGTTCTGTGGGCAGGGTTGGCCTTCGGCTAGTAACCAACGGTGAGTTCTATCGTAAAGGACCTGGAGGTGGCATCTGTTTCATGTGGATCAATGTCTGTCCTTGTTTTTCATTTGGCCTTTCTATTACATGCTAGACTGGGAAGCTCGCATTGACAGCCATGGGCGGGTCTTCTATGTGGACCACGTGAACCGCACAACTACCTGGCAGCGTCCGACAGCAGCAGCCACCCCGGATGGGATGCGGAGATCGGGGTCCATCCAGCAGATGGAGCAACTCAACAAGCGGTTGGTGATCAGCATGCAAAGAGCCCCTGTAAACCAGGAAGGAGAATGGCAGCTAAAGAAAAACCCTGGGACGCTTTTCTGCTCAGACTGCATGAGGAGGCTAGAGATTAATTTTACATCTTAAGAAAGTCATGCATAGTAGGTACTTAGAAAGCCAGACTTAGAATTTGGTGGCAAGAGACGAGCTAAGCCTGAGGGTCATTTCAAGGTGGGGAATCCTCTGAACTTCTTGATGGCCCAGGTTTGAAAACAGGTGTGCTTAATCAAGAGGCTCATGGAGTCCCACTCCCCCATCTTAGGTGTTCACTGAGGGTGTCAGTTTTCCGTGAACTCTCTAGAAATAGTACACAAAATTATACTTGCAGGCACATTTTCTGCAGCTCAAGTTGGAGAACTAATACCATTCAAACTGCTGCCAGTAGCAACCAACTAAGTGCTCTCTGCCTCCCCTCAGCGGGTCTCCTAGCCCTGCCTGAGGTCCACATAGCCTGATGCCACCACCAAGCTTTTCAGAATTCTCCAAGGGTGGACTCTTTGGGACATGTTATTTTCTCTATGGTTTTTCCCTGCAAGCTCCCCAACAAGTTCATACTCTGATTTCAAAATATACTTTAGGTGTCTCCTCATCTGTGTTCACATACCTCTACACGTCTAGGACAGCCTTTTCACATCGCTAGAGTCATGGTTTATATAGCGTGTCATCTTGACTGTGTGGGTTTAGAGTGTGATATCATATTCTAATTTTCTCTTTGATCTGAAAGTCCAGGACAGAGCCTGGGCACATTGGAAAAGTTAGTAAATATTTAGTAGGTACCTGGCAAAGTGGCTAACTGGCTGGCCAACTGATTAAATCCCCAATTTGGGAAGAAAAATAAAATGATCCTTCAAATAAGCAGAAAATATTTGTCTGCCAACGTATTTATTTTTTGCCAGCATGATTTTATTTCCACATATCTGCTGGTCATATCAGTTTCTTGTCAAGTAAAAGTAAGTGAGTAGAACTATTCTTCTAGTTTGTTAGTACAATAATGCAGAGGTAATTTGATATATTAATTGTAACATTTTAAGTTACTTCCCATGGCCTTATTTCAGACTTAGTAAGGGTATAGGCTATTTTTTTTTATAATTCGTTATTATTTATGTTGGTTTTTTTAGAAGTCACCATACTTGAAACTTATCATATCTCACAAAACAAACAGAAGTCAAACCATCCAGAGACACTTGTCTTACTAATTGCTTTGGCTCTCTTGTGGAAATTTTAAGCATTTTTTTCCAGGCATCCAAGACAACATTTTCCAGATTTCCCCAGTAATCTGATTCAAAGCACCAGCCCCAAACAAGCCAACAAACAAAAATTAACTCCTGTCTTTCCATTTTCTGATGCAAAGGTACCAAAATATTCAGCGAACCATTGCCACAGAGAGGCCGGAAGAAGATTCTAGTAGCCAAAGTTGTGAGCAAGTCCCAGCAGGAGGCGGCGGAGGAGGTGGTGAGAGTGACTCAGACACTGAATCTTCTCAGTTGAGCTTAGGTATGGGAGGAGGGGTCCCTAGACTTCTGGGATGGCATCAGGGGCTGTGTGACAGAATGTGTGAGGCCCTTGTAGTATGGCACTGTACACTCGGGGAAAGAAAGCAATGGGACGAATGGAGGTCAGGACAGAGGGGAAAGAGGCAGGGCGCAACAAAGTAAAGCAAACAGAAGTTTCCCACCAGGAACTGAGGAAGCAATGGGTTCACATAGAGAGAATGCCAGCACTATGGCTGGGGGACATGAGGCAGATGAAGTCTGCGGACTGAGAGCTGGGTTTGCTATGTACTTGCGCATCAAGGCAATTTTTTCAGCATCTTGATTTCTAGTTAGGTTAATTTATTTCTTGTAGTCTGTGGATTTTCTACTTATAAATAAAACACGCAATCAAAATTCATGGTCTACTTCAAAAGAACCACATAACTACACTATAAATAGGAATAATTAGTTGTTAGCTTTAGGAATAAAATATAGTTCCCCTTGAGGGAGAAACCTGGGAATAAAGACATTTTCTAGACATGGTTATGCACACCACCCAAGAGCCTTTTTTTACCAAATCTTGTAGGATAGGTGTCCATCAGGGGTCTGGTGGTCATTTCTTAGAACTCAAATGAGGATATTCAAAAGGCATAGGAGACTGGCTTTCACTTTTTATACCTGTGATGACATAAGAGGATCACAGTGACATACTAATCATCCAGTTTTTAAAGTTGAGTTGTGATGGAAATTTTATTTGCAAAAACAAGGCTCAGAAAATAGTCTGAGCAAACAAGCATGTGTTTCCGTCCTCCCAGGTCTCAGCTCTTACGACAATGCAAAATAGTGGACATTTTCATGCACTCTTTTGAATGTATATACTAGTATACAGTTCTACCAACAATTTTAATTGCCTTCATTTTCTTCATTTTACCAGATATACTAACTTAACTGACTAGTTTAGGATTTTCTAGTATTAATTTCATAGTTCAGCCTTCTGAGAGAGATGTGGTAAAGTGGTTGAGCAATGAGAAACATGAGAAAAAAGGAGCAAAGGAATTTATTTCTGGGTTTGGTATCACATATGTTGGCATTTGCTATGTAGCAAACCACCCCAAAGCTTAGTAGCTTAAATTCACAGCCTTGCATTTATCCAATGGTCCTGCAGATAGGCAATTTGAGCAGAGTTCAGCAAGGTGGCTCCTCAGAAGCCACTGGGCTCCCCCATCTGTCCTTGGTCCACTGTCCAATCAGCCATGACCCGTCTGCCCTGAGAGGGCCTCAGCTGGGCGGCTTGTTCCTGCTCCCCATGGCTTCTCCTCTTGCGCAGGGCTAGCCGATGTTTGTTCTCATGATGGTGGCAGAGTTCAGAGTGAGTGTGGGGACACAGAGGCTTCGAAACCTTGGCTCGAAGCCTCTGCTAGATTGTGTTCGATAAAGCCAGACACATGGCCAGCTCGATTCAACAAGGGGAGAAGCTGCAAAGTCTCATGCAGATGGGTGTGGGTGCAGGGAAGGAAAAAATTGTGGTTCTTTCTGCAAACAAACTATCATACCTACGATTAGCAATTTGTAAAGAAAATTTTAAAAAGTAATTGGCACAAAAAGGACAAGATATTTAAGGACTTGAGCCTAACTGAAATTATACAGAAACACTCCTAGAAATAATGGTTCTTACCTGACATACACAAGGTGATATGACTCCTGGTCAGATCACTGACTCCTAGTCAGATTACTATTAAAAACAGCCCACTCCAGCTGTGCAGGTAAAGGTGTGTGTGCTGCTGGTATGCAGAGAAAAGTGCTGGGTTTGAAATGACTCTTTCAATGCGCTCTGTGCTTTTGCTTCACCTTTTCCAGATCTGAGGAGAGAAGGGTCACTTTCTCCTGTGAACTCACAAAAAATCACCTTGCTGCTGCAGTCGCCTGCGGTCAAGTTTATCACCAATCCTGAGTTCTTCACTGTACTGCATGCCAATTATGTGAGTGCTCCAGAAATGCAGAGTGGGCCTGGCCTGGCTTCCATCAAGACCAAAAGCGCAACTTTGCCAAGTTGTTTGATACCTGAATGAGGGTAGAATTTTCTTGCCTGAAAGAGAGTAGAATTTTAGCCCAGGCGAGAATAAAGGAAACAGCTCAGTCCACTCTTTTCATTCTGTGCATTTTCCAAAAAGGGAAAGAGCTGGATGGGGAAATGCTGTTTACCCTTCAGGTTTTTGTCAGTGTCAGTGTGTTCGTGTCAGTGAAACTGCTTTGGTAGAAGTGTGGGAGAAAGACTGGGGGACTAAGACTGGAGACTGATTCAACCATTCTAGTGAGAGATGACAAAGGCCTGCTAAGTCAGGGGCCGGCCTCATGGAAAGGAATGACTCATTTCAGGAGACATTTCTGGGTGGAATCAGTAACAGGGCTTTGGACCACTGTGATTGAGGGGGGTGGGAGATGAGGACTCAGGAAAGTCTGAGTCCTTTTGCTTTGAGCACCTGAGTTAGGTGGTGACTCCATTAGGCGGGTCCGGTAGTTTAATAAGATGACAAAGTTTGTGTCATGGGAGGAGGAGATCAGGTTTTAGAGGTTATATTTGAGAAGCCGCTGGGACATTCAGTGGTTAGAGCCAGAGCAGCTGCCCGGTGGTGCAGGCATGAATGCTGAAGGGGACAAGGATGCCAGATCCTGGGCACCAGGGGACTTGGGCCAGCAGGAGCTATACCGTGCCTGCTTGCTCCAGCTTTCCTTTGATCACATGCACACATCATCCCCGTGAGCCATAAAACTGTCATTTGCACAATGAGAAATTCCTGAAACTTTTTTTGTTTTTCTCATCCCCTACCCCTCATGTACAAACATTTCTACAGAGGAATCAAAGGAATGATGGGCCCTGAAGTCCTGCCTTAAATCCCAGGAACCTTAAATGAATATACTCTTTGTTGTAGACAGCTAAAGGAGCACAGGCAGACCTGTGCAGTCAGAGAGGATCCATGGAGGAGAGAGAGGAAAGAGACTCAAAGAGGTCAAGAAAGATTCAAAAAAGCCAATGGCTGAGAGAGGAAGGAAGGAGGAGGGAGGGGAGCTTTGAGATGCACAGGGAGGTCGACTGTGTCCCAGGCTGTGGAGCAGCAGGTAGAGTAGGGATCACAAACAGGGCCATGTGTGTTTACAGCTGCTCATTTAATTTTTCAGCAAGATTTCTGCTTCTGAGGCTGCCTCCTCGAGGCTCACAATAAATAACTGTTTAGAAATCACATTATATCACATTAAGGTTCTCAAACTGTGCTTGATCTGTGTTTTTTCTAATCCTCCACTCCCTACCCCAACTGGCTCTGACCCCATCTCAGAATGCTTACCGCGTCTTCACCAGTAGCACCTGCTTAAAGCACATGATTCTGAAAGTCCGGCGGGATGCACGCAATTTTGAACGCTACCAGCATAACCGGGACTTGGTGAATTTCATCAACATGTTTGCAGACACACGTCTGGAATTGCCTCGGGGCTGGGAGATCAAAACGGACCAGCAGGGAAAGGTGAGTGTGACTGTGTGGCCCTTTCCTCATGGGGCCTTTTCCTTGAAAGGAAAGACACTGTGAACGTGAGGAGGGAGGTTGATGAGGAGAAGAGAGCCTATGAGCCTGGGATGTGCCATTGGCTCCCAGGAGGCAGGGAGGAGGAACTGTCCACAGCAGGGTTTCTGTCCTGTGCACTGGAGTGTGTTTAGCAGCATCCCTGACTTCTGCCCACTGAGCACCCCCACCAAGTTTGGACCTTACTATATATGCCCCCTGGGGAGCAAAATCACCCCCATTTGAGAGCTACTGTCTACATCTCTTTACATTTAGGTTTGGAATTTGAAACCAGATTCTGTTCAATGACCTTCCACTGTTTGCCTCCTTAGACTGCTAACTCCCAGAGAACAACATTATTCGTTAAATGGGAGTGACATTGTTAGATTACTCACTGCGATTTCCCTAGTAAGCCTTCAGTTCTCCTTAAAGCAGCCTGGCAAACAGTGATGGGGCACATTGAGTTTGTGCCATGTTAACTGGCCTGCATTTTGCCTTTGTGTGACCTTAACCAAAACTGGTCCTTCCCGGCAATGCTTTAGACGCCTAATTGGGTTTGCTAAAGGGAGAATGTTTTTTCTTAATCATCATCATTCATCTCAATGTATTTACAAGACAGGCCAACGTTTACTAAAGAACTGTCCCTGTGTAATCTTTTGTGAACTTTGGTGGAGAGAACCCCTCCCTGTTTTAGGGTCAAAGGAAACAGAAGTTTCTACCAGCAGACATGTCTCTCAATAGGCAACTGAATTACTCCATTTTTTCTCTTGGCGATTGTGAACCTGCAAAGCCATAGTTCCCCGGAGTGAGTTGATGTCCCCAGAGTGGTACTGTCATAAAAAACAGTGCCACTGGGAGCTATAAACCCTTTCCCACAAACCGCTTAGCATGCCTCAGCACCTGAACTCTCTAGGTTGTGTGAGAAAAGACTGTGTCCACTAATGCAAGTCCATGAGTACTAGGAAGCTCTATGACCAGCTCCTCTGTACTCAGGGATTAAATGGGGTGGGGGGATTCCTTGTACAGCAGATCTCCTCATTTACTGGATGTGGCCTCCACTGGGAGAATGACAGTGATTTATATACTATGAGGACTTGCTGGGATGTGGTAGGGTGGGAAATGAAGCTTGAGCTGGAACAGAAAGTAAAGGATCAGTGCTGGGGTGCACCTGCCTATCTCAGGGGTTTGCGGTGGTGGCCATGATTGCATTTATTGTTTAACCAAGATGCCAAGGGATACCACTATGAGTCAGTGAACAGAAAGGCAGTGTTTATTATGCAAGAGCACACACTAATGCAAGCCATTTGCCTATCCTTGGATTTTCAAGAATGAAGCTCTCATATCAGGAAACAAACAGCAGAGGCCCAGGGAATGCAGAGAGGCCCCAGATGCAGTCAACCCTGGTCCTCCATGATACACACACTGCCTCCTACTCATCACTATAGCAGAAAGCAAAGCAGCTGAGACATGTACCTAGAGACTGTCTTTATTCCATTGTATATTCTTGCCTCTTTTATCATATATTAATTGACTGTATAAGTGTGGGTTTATTTCTGGGCACTTTATTCTGTTCCATTGATCTATATGTCTGTTTTTATGACAGTACCATGCTTTTTTGATTTCTATAATCTTGAAATATAGCTTAATATCAGATAGCCTCTAACTTCGTTCTTCTTTCTCAAGATCGCTGTGGCTATTTGTAGTCTTTTTTTTGTTATACATAAATTTTTGGGTTATTTGTTTTAGTTCTGTGAAATACTCCATTAGTATTTTTCAGAGAACTGAAAGTAATCATTATGCACCCATCAATCTGAATACTATATGCTTATTAAAATTCTATGTTAAAAGAAAATTTAATAACTTAGGGAAATGCTTATAAAATAATAGGCAAAAAGATTTACAACAAAATTATTGTTAATGTGGGGAAAATGTATATATGTGCATATGTGTATATTTGCATAGGAAAAGAAAAAAATCTGGAAAATATTACCAAAATAGCCCAGCCAGTGTGGCTCAGTGGTTGAGCATCGACCCATGAACCAGAAGCTCATGGTTTGATTCCCAGTCAGGGCACATGCCTGGGTTATGGGCTCGGTCTCCAGTGGGGGACGTACAGGAAGCAGCTGATCAATGATTCTCTCTCATCATTGATGTTTCTATCTCTCCCTCTCCCTTCCTCTCTGAAATCAATAAATTTTTTAAATTACCAAAATATTTTAGTGATTGCCTTTAGATTGTGTTATTTGGGATGATTTAAGTTATTTTCTTTTTACTATTTTATCCTTTCAATTTTTTTATCAGTGAGACTCTACTAATTCTATATTAAAAAGCATTTTTTAAAAAGTAAAATCCTATAAAAGTTATTAATCACTAGTATTATTTATCCATCAAAAGCTCTATTTATCTTATTTTGCATATGAAATAAAGTGTTGTTATTACTACTGTATGACTTCACAGTGTAAAGTGTTAATGACTGCTATTGCTTCATTCAACTACTGAGCAAACAGATGCACAGTGCCCAGTGTTCCATCTAATTTTGAGTAGATAAAAAAGAGAGACAGAAATAAACATGATGCCTTGGCCCCGTAGCATTCCCTTACAGGGTTCACTGCACTCTGGCTCATTCTCATGGCTTGCTTTTTTCACTGGTCTGTCTGCAGTCTTTTTTCGTGGACCACAACAGTCGAGCGACCACTTTCATTGACCCCCGAATCCCTCTTCAGAACGGCCGTCTTCCTAATCATCTGATGCATCGCCAGCACCTCCAGAGGCTCCGCAGTTACAGTGCTGGAGAGGTAACACCCTTTCCCCACCCTCAGCTCACGGGTCCGCAGACTCTGCCCCTGTTGGTGGAGCCAGAACTACTTCTAAGTGGCTGAGATCTAGGAGAAATTAACCAGGCATAAGGAGTACCCTGTTCGCATCCCACCACGTGCTGGTCTAGTTTATATCTCTTTTATTACCTGTGCTTGCCTATTGCTGAGCCATGAAAGGCTGCCACCTTTCATAAGCTCACATTCATTGCCTTTCTGAAATACTGTCTCTGTATCCCATAATCTTTCCTGTCCTCTTTTCCCAAACCAAAACTCAAAATATAGCCCTTTTCTACTTTCAAACAGTTTCGGAGAATATTATGAGAAAATCCATTTTTATGTCCTAACGTCTTTTTATAACATCAAGAGATGAGGGCACTGAGAACAATTTCCCCATAAAACAGCTTTTAAAGTTGAATTTTAGAGTGAGGCAAAAAATGAAAAAACTGTCAGAAAAAAAAGAAATATCTATTTGGCCCCCTCAGAGAGTCATTCCAGGGAGAACCACAGAGTACATACACCTCAGAGGAAACTGGAAAAATTACAATCTCCCTAAAAAGCTTCCAGATAGCAAACATAAGTCTTAAACGAAGAGCTAGTTGTTGGTGTGTCATCACTTGTTGTAATGAAAGCCTCGTGTACATTTCAGAGGGGTCATCTGTGGACTCTGAGAGATGCAACTATTTCCAGTCAAGGGCACTCATGTTTCAGTGCCACTGTGATCAAATGAATTTTTCTTTCATGGGATCATCTTAGGTATCATTGTTTCAGGATACTACTGAAAACATACACATAAAAGGTGTGTGTGACGATGCAGAGAGGAAGCATTACACATCTGCAAGTGTTATGTGGGTGTCAAGACCCTCCAGATACCAGACACTCAGCAGGAAACAAGTTCACAGATTGTAGAAAGCAGTGCCCCAACTTCCCACCTCAACACAGATAGCTCCCCTGTCTGATAGCAATCGTACAATACTTCAGAAAGTACTAAGCGTGAGATGATAGTGTACAAATTCAGAACTCTGCATCAACTCGAAATATGTCATTTCAATTTATTTAAAATGTCCAAGCTCTTTAATATTTTAAGGCAATTTCAGTATTATTGTCAGGTCGCTTCATATAATAAAAAGAAACTGAGTATTGCAGACATTTCACTGTCAATAAAATATACCTCAATGTAATAACGGCTACATATGACAAACCACAGCCCACATCATACTCAATGAGCAAACACTAATGATTTTATTTTGGAATTAGGCCTCAGATGTCTGTAGAAACAGAGGAACCTCTTTAATGGCCCGGCCAGGACACAGCCTCGTAGCTGCTATTCGAAGCCAGCATCAACATGAGTCGTTGCCACTGGGTATGTAGCATGCTTTTAGAACCCCTGGATAATCAATAATTAACCTGGCTTTTCTTATTGTGAATCCTTTAATACTGAGGATTCCATTGAGTTATTTTTCTTCCTCTTTTATGGCATAGTCTCCCCCTTTATTGTTTGTGCCCATCCTCCCCTCCCCTTCGCCTCTTTTCCCTTTCTCCTTCCTCCTCACTTTGTCCTCTCTCATCCCTCACCTCCTTCTTCCCTCATATCTTCCAGACCCACATTTCCCTTCCTTTCTCTATTCAGTGCTTTGTTAGCCAAGTCCAGGGGAGGTCATGAATTTGTTTCTGTTAGATGCAGTTTTTAATGTAAACCTCTCTTCCCTTGTGTGTATGGGGATAAGTCGACAGAGTCTTGATTTCTAAAATCAACTGCCTCTTCTCAAAACACATGCCACTTATATCGGGGGAAAAGAGGTGAGAGAGCCTAAATGGATTTGGACAGTTCCATTATCACTCCTGGAAATCAACTCATGGCCACAGGTCATAAGTGTCCAGTGCTCGGAAAAGGGTTTATTTGAACTCATAAAGAATCTTGTGCTAAAATAACTATGACAAAATGACCAAGAGAATTTATTAAGAAGAGAGTAAGACTTCGCTCGTGGGAGAACTACTTTGTATTTTATCTGTTCACACAGTAGTGAGTTAACCCATCGTTAAGTTTCTGGAATATTAGGATGATTAACTTAGATTGAGTTCACTTCTGGGGTGATTGTTTAAAAATAATAATTCTATTATATCACTGGAAACACCCTCAGGAGCTCCCTCAGGAGCTTACATTTCTTGATACATTGCTACCTGCCCCTCAAACTTCTAAATTAATTCTCGAGTCAAGCAGCCATCTTCCAATCATCAGGGAAATCATCTGTGGTCTGCAGACTGAAGCACAACTCTGCCCTTCTGTCGTTTCAGCATATAATGACAAGATCGTGGCATTTCTTCGCCAGCCAAACATTTTTGAAATGCTGCAAGAGCGTCAGCCGAGCTTGGCAAGAAACCACACACTCAGGTAGGGGCTTGTCCATCCCCGCGGAACTCTAGGCCTCCTCAGCTCTCTGTCAAGATGGGACAGCACCTCTGTGGGGAGACAGAGCAGAAGGCTTTGCTGTTTTCTATCCATGCATTTAAATTATAATTTGAATTCTCAAAACGAAGGGGCCAGAGGGTTCTAATGTGCTCAGAAGTGTAGCAATCAGCAATAATCATATTGTCAGGTTACCTATGATTCATAATGATGCTAAAATGATTTCCATTGACTTGGAAGGAAGCACTGAAAGGGAGCAACATACTTTTAATTAAAAGGTATTTATGTAAAGCACCATATACATTTTTTGAAATAAGATTATTTAATAGTAAATCATACATAAAATGACCATATTCAAAAGAAGCAAACAAAAAGTATCATATATGTTCTGATTTTCCCAAAAGTATCATATATGTTCTGTTGTTTATTAGGGTCGTATTTGACTAAGTATCTCTGGAAATCTGAATCACTACATTTGGAAGAAATAGTCACACAAAGTGATAAAAAGAGAAAATATCTCCTGAAGCTAAATCCCACTTTTTCACCAAAATAGTTAAACGCCTCTCTCTTTCAGTTTACTGTTCAGAATTTCAAACACTGGAGATGCATGGATATTAAGAGTGTTCCCTTGTAGTCTTAATTCTAGCTCACATATGGGCTAACAATCAAGTCATGTTATTTAATCCTCTACCCTTAGTCTTCTCGTCACTGAAATAGGGTCGCAATGCAGGCACTATTGAAATGCTTAAATGGGGATGTGTGTGAAAGATCAGACAAAGTGGGTGAGAACAGTCAGTTACTGCCTCTAATCCCTTACCTCCCATCTGGTGGTCTTTTGAATCTGTCAGACAACTGTAAAACTCTATTTTGTGTGATTTTCTCAATAAATCACCAACATTGGAAAATAACCTCTTTGTTATTCAAGTCCTTATTCATCCTGCCAGGACATATCAATTATATTCTTGCCCCTCCAAGACCCCCTCATTGACACCTCTTTTCCCTTTGTTTTTACCTTTGTAAATTAGAACCACCATCCTCCAAATTGGCCATTATCTCTCCATTCCTTCCTCTGTCCTCATTTCCACATCTAAACATTTACCTCCTCACTTTTTCTCTTCTAGCCCTTTTATTCTCTTCTCTATCATGACCAGTATTTGGATTTTCATCATTTCTCTCCTGAAGTTGGCAGGGGTCTCTTAGAAGATATCCCCTATCATCCTACTGTAACCAGAATTATCTTCTTATAGAACAGATCAAATTATGTCCCTCCTGTCCCTCAACAAAAGCTCATGGCTCTCATTGCATATGAAATAAAGATTTCTAAGCACAATTCCCATGGTCTCCAAAGCCTGGCCCTAGCCTAACTCTCCATCCTGTGCTAGTATTTTTCTCCCAGCATCTTCCATTTTCACCAAATAAGCTGTCCCTCTCTTCTACCTTCTCCTTTTCTGGAATGGATTTCCTTTTGTGGATAGCTCATCCTATTTTAAAGGCTCAAATCAAATGCAAAGATTTGGTGATTCAAGCAGACTCTAGAATTTCTTGTGCCTTACTTTAAACATTCTTTTTGTACTTCTAAGGTATTTCCCCTTATCTCTGTTATTCTATCATGTACTTATGTCTCCCTACAACACTATAAGCTCTTTAGTGCAGGACCTTGTCTGTGTACCCACTCTGACCCTCAGAACCTGGTCCTTTAATTTAAAGATGGAAAACATTACTTTTGGAGTGAAGGAAAAGGCCTTAGCATGAACAGTTGAGCTTAAGCATGAGTATTGTCACTTCCACTTATGTCCAACGCTGCCCAAATTTCATTACTGCGCTGCTAAAGGCAGGGCCATGCTCAGTCATATAGGTCATTTATTCATGGGCTCCGTTATTTTCTCACAGTACATCATAATCTAAGGGATTTTCAAAGAATTTTCAGAGGCGTTATACTAACTAAAAAGTTTTTGACACATTTCTGCTTTTGAACATTGTTTAATGTATTGGTTCCACCACTAAGTAATTAATTCACTGCTTACTTTTTAGAGAAATTTGAATCCACTAAAGGCACTATATTCCCATTTAAATAATTTGAATAATTTGAAAGTAGAAACAATATAACCTCCATAAGAGTAGGACCTATGTCAGTTTTGCCTGCTACTACAAGTAAAAGAGTATATTTTCAAAGAGAAATAAACTTTTGAGCCTTATTGTGTAATATCACGTTTTTTAAAATCTTAAGAGTTTTGTTGCAGTGTGGAATTATACAATTATGATTTTCCACACATGGGGGGACTTGGAGTGAGGGAAATGGAAAAACCATGGAAATTGTTTAGTATAGAAACTAATAACCTTTTCTTAAAGGTTGAAAGTATTCCAGATCCCCCCTTTTCCCCCATTGATCCCCTCCACCCCACCCCCAGCAGGCCTTCACCACATTATTGTCTGTATCCATGGGTTATGCATATATGCATATAAATTCTTGGGTTAATCTCTTCCTGTCCCCTTCCCTTTAAAGAATATGATGAGAAACATTATAGACTTGCCCTCACATATAAACATAAGCTTTTGCATATAATTTCAAATGAAGGACTTGTGGACTCCAGGTTGGGAATCCAAATATTTCATCAAAAACAGTTGACCAACAATGACATCAGAAACTAAGAGGGGATGGAATTAAAAAGGTAGAATGACAAGAATAAGAACTTGCTCTTTAGGGGGTCACTCTTAAGGGAACTAGGAAGCTGGGCACTGCTTGCTGGGATTGAACCTTTGCCTGCTCCTGGGTGTGATGTGAGTGTGAGTCAGCTCCATCTTAAAGGTCCAAGAGTTGAAAATAAAAGCACATCTTCCCATGACCCTGTCCGGAGGAAGAACTGAATGCTTCCTCTGTGGTACCAAGGTGAGGACAGTGACCCTTATTCAGCCATAGCTATTTTCAGGGAGCCATGGATCCACTGTCTTGGGTCCACAAAGTCAGTTGCTGGGTTAGAGGGTAGAGAATGAGTTTCAGGAAACTGTTTTCAGCAGTGAATCGTAAGGAAGCCACACATAGAGGGGGAAGATGGAGCCAGAAAACCCAGAGGCTAATGGTATCTGTTAATTTTAAGGGTCATGGTCGCAGTCCTTATTCATTCATTCTTTCCTTCAACTAGTGCTTTTATTGTGCAACTAATCTGAATCAGGATTGTGCTAGGGCTATGTATGTAGCAGCAAGCAAAACAGACATAGGTCTTACTCTGATGGCACTTGCAATCTATTAAGGGAGACAGATGACAGACAAGTTTGGCCTGTTTTGTTTTTTTGTGTTTTTTTAAAGCCAAATATATAGCCATAGAATTTGTTAAGGGTCATGAAGGATGCGATCAGAAGTCAGCAATAGTGGGTAATAGGCTGGTGCAGAGGAGGAGGACGTACGTCCTAAGCAGAATGCAGGGAAGGCTTTCAGAATGCAGGTAGTTGACACTAAACTGAAACCTGAAGGATGAGAAGAAACTGTTCCCAAGATGCAAGGTGGGGATCAGGGAGAGAGTGCGCAAAGGCCCCACACAAGAAAAGGCTTGATGTAGGTGAAGAGCGAAAAAACGCCAGGATGGCTTAGGGTGGATTGAGACTATGGTGAAATTGGAAAGGGAGGCTTGTCAGCAATGGAAAGGAGCTGGGATTTTATCTGAAGTTAATTTCATTTACAAAGTGATTAAAGAGTTTTCAGCAGGAAAGAAAGATAGATGAATTTGTGTTTTTAATGACCACTTGGGCTATTCTGTAGAGAAAAATGCTAGACTGGAGGTGGGACATAAGATATAGGAGAAGGGGTTACTAGGAGACTATGATATTAATCTCCTTGTATGGAGGATGGTAGAGCATGGGTGGAGGGGAGGGAAGAGCTTGCGTGATAGCGTGCATGCAAAAACAACAGAGGCTGGTGACCGCTTGCACATGGGGGTGAGGAGCCGAGAATGATAGCCAGGTGTGATGCTTTGAAGATCAGTGGGTGATGGTGTCTGTCTTTGTCCTTTGGGGCTTGCTATACAAAGTACCACAGACTGGGTGACTTATAAACAGCAGAAAATTACTGCTCACAGTGTGGCGACTCGAAGTCCAAGAACTTGGTGCTACCATAATCAGAATGAGGGCCTTCTTTCAGGTTACAAACTTCTCATATCCTCACATGTAAGAGACAAGGGCACTAATCTCAGACAAGAGGGCTCTGCCTTCATGACCTAATCACATCCTCAAGCCCCACCTCCTAACACCATTACATTGGGCTTTGGGATTCCAACATGCAAAAGAAATTTTAAAGTTAAATATTGTTTTTAAAATTGCCCTCTAAATCTTCCCAGATTTATGCTGCATTGCTTCAAGGCATTTTTTAAAAATTCTTTGAAGCATGCATGCAATTGAATTAATCTTGGTTATGGTATTTACAGTATTTGAATATTTGAATGTCAAAAAAGCCAATTACAAAGTTCATTTGATCAAAAAAAAAAAGCTATTTATCCATAGACTTATTGGAATAATTTGCCAGGTTAGAGTTGGAGATTGTGGAAAAAGGTCAGAATGTATAAACTGCAATCAAACAGAGAGAAATGTAGGCCTGTGCTCGGACCATCGGGAGACTCTCGCGTGTTCTGGAGGTCAGACTCTCTTGGTGCCCAGCGTGCCTTACACATTTCCCATCAGGCATAAGGCTCCTCACTCTCTTTCCATGACCTCCAAGATGTCCTGAGCCCACCACAGTCCTTCAGCCGCTCTCCTAGTCCAGCTCCACTCCCGATGGCCATGGCTCTTCAAGGACCTACCTTCGTTGTGTTCCTTAGCTTCTGTCCCTGTGAGTCTGGGGAGAGGGGATTCCTTGTAGAGCAGTGATAGCAAAACTTTTGAGCTCGGCGTGTCAGCATTTTGAAAAACCCTAACTTAACTCTGGTGCCGTGTCACATATAGAAATTTTTTGATATTTGCAACCATAGTAAAACAAAGACTTATATTTTTGATATTTATTTTATATATTTAAATGCCATTTAACAAAGAAAAATCAACCAAAAAAATGAGTTCGCGTGTCACCTCTGACACGCGTGTCATAGGTTCGCCATCACTGTTGTAGAGTATCCTGGGAACCTGCAATACGAACTTTAAATACCAAGATACTAGTATACTTGACACTAATTAGGACATCGCTGCTCAGCCACATTGGAAGAGAGAGAAAAAGGGATCAGAAAAGGATTCATTCCTTGGCTTCTGAGTTGTGGTGTAACTCTTTTCTTTTCCACATTATTTTAGGGAGAAAATCCATTACATTCGGACTGAGGGTAATAATGGGCTGGAAAAGTTGTCCTGTGATGCAGATCTAGTTATTTTGCTGAGGTAAGAGGCTAAGCCTGGAGCAATTCTGGAAAAGCTGCCCTGGGCAGTTCTTCACTACGCCCGGCTGGAACACTCACCATTTGCTCTAGAGGTTTCTAGTGACCAGAGCTGAAAAGGGCCCCCATCCACGGCCTTCTTTACATTTACAGTTCAGGTAGCAAGAGCTGAATATAGTACTTGATAGAGACTTCGTTGTAGTATTAATTAGGGTTTAAAATAACACAGAAAAAAAAATAACACAGAATTTGCGTGCTGGGGTGTGCCTATCTCTTTTTTTTCTTGATTGATTAAGGTATTACGTATGTGTCCTTATCACCCCATTGTGCCTATCTTTTAAATACTATGTAGTATGCTGAATGTGAGTGTTTTGTTGCTTTGTGAGGACTGTAACTGCTATTACGCTGATTCATGAGTACTCTCTCATGGACAGAAAATAAACTCTTTTTTTTTTCTTTGCAGTCTCTTTGAAGAAGAGATTATGTCCTACATCCCCCTGCAAGCTGCCTTCCACCCAGGGTACAGCTTCTCTCCTCGCTGTTCACCCTGCTCCTCACCTCAGAACTCCCCAGGTAACTTGAGAGGCTGGCAGGGTCTCTCCTGTAAGTGGCCACCTGTGTTTCTACCAGATGATGGTGAAAGAAGGACGGTTGTATGCTTGCCTGTCTCTCTGCCACCTGTTTTTGTAATGCCCCGAGACTTGAATGCATTTTACATTTCAAATGGTTTGAATTTTTTTTTTTTTTGCAAAACCAGGATTTCATGACATGTATAAATTATGTGAAATTCAAATTTCAATGCCTATAAATAAAATTTTAGTGGAACCCAATCATACTGGTTTAAGTATTTTTAATGGCAACAGCAGGTGTGAGCAGTAGTGACAGAGACCATATGACCCCAAAACCCTAAACGATTTACTATCTGTCTGCCAGACCCCTGCTCTAAATTTCTATTACATTCCAAATGCATTCTATAAGAACTCAAAAGGGGCCCAGCCAGTGTAGCTCAGTTGTTGAGCATCAACCTATGAACCAGGAGGTCATGGTCCGATTCCTGGTCAGGGTATATGCCTGGGTTGCAGGCTCCATCCCCAGTGTGGTGCAAGAGGCAGCCGATCAATGATTCTCTCTCACCATTGATATTTCTATCTCTCTCTTCCTCTCCTTTCCTCTCTGAAATCAATTAAAGTATATATTTTTTAATTTAAAAGGAAAGAGCCCTTTATGAAACCTTCATCCTTATGACTCAGAGTGTTAATAGATATCAATTTTTGGCAACGTTTCTCATGTTGTAAAGAAGTTAGTAGGATGCATGGTTAGTAGGGATCACCATACGTACCCAAGGAAGATGCCAAAGAGTTTTCTTACATGGTATGAGATGGTTCCCCTGAAGTTTTCTTTATGTATTAGAATGATTTACTCATGATACAAAAAATCTTTGTCGATATTTTTCATTCCCAATGAGGAAATATATATTAGACTGTTTATTGAAAAAGGAAGATACTATTTTCTATGTTCATCAAAACAATTAAGTAAAAACCATACCCCCAAACATGACCAGATATTGGAGACTTTCCCCCATTTGTTAGTTAGCATTATCACATTGTTGCAGGTATCAAGGTAACCCAATTTTTATATAACTTTAAAAGTAAAGGAGTAGTTTGAAATATCTGGTAACTTTTTATCTCACGACCTCAAGAGTCAGAGTCCAAGTTTGGCTTCTGAAGTGCATGGAGAAATTCAGAAGAGAAACAGAATTTAGCAAAATTCTCTGTCCCTCAAAAAGGGTGTGACAGCATCACTCAATGCTGCTATAATTGCTAAAACTAGAATGTTTTTTGGTTTGGCTCCTCCAAGTCATGTCACTTGAAACTCTCTCAGAGGTGTTTTTGTTCACTGTTAAACTCGGTTTTTAAGTCAGTATCTCTCTGTTGTTACTTCCTCCAAACAAGTGTACCAATGACATTGTTGAGGAAATGCCTAATGCAGTGATGGCGGACCTTTTGAGCTCGGCGTGTCAGCATTTTGAAAAACCCTAACTTAACTGGTGCCGTGTCACATATAGAAATTTTTTTATATTTGCAACCATAGTAAAACAAAGACTTATATTTTTGATATTTATTTTATACATTTAAATGCCATTTAACAAAGAAAAATCAACCAAAAAAATGAGTTCGCGTGTCACCTCTAGGTTCGCCATCACTGGCCTAATGCTGCTACCCCTGACTTACAATGTAACTGAGGTGCCATGACCTGGGGAAGGTGGAGCAGAGCTTTGTCAGAGCCAGAACGATCATCTCCAGTGTACACAGGGTGACTTACTTTTGGGGAGCAGGGCCTTCCATTGGGAGAAGCTGTTGGTCTAGATCAGTGGTCGGCAAACTGCGGCTCACGAGCCACATGCAGCTCTTTGGCCCCTTGAATGTGGCTCTTCTGCAAAATACCACGTGTGGGCACGCACATACAGTGCGATTGAAACTTCGTGGCCCATGCGCAGAAGTTGGTATTTTGTGCGAGCCACACTCAAGGAGCCAAAGAGCCGCATGTGGCTCGTGAGCCGCAGTTTGCCAACCACTGGTCTAGATGATGATCTGCCATTTTGTTGTAGAGATTGTCCCAGTCTTGTAACCTGTCTACACTTTGGTCCAAACTTTGACAATGAGTGTGATTTTAACATCACTATATGTGAGAGATACATATGGAAATGGAAAAAGAAGAGACAATAAAGAGTGATTTGCTAAATGAGATATATTTGGATAACTTTTATAAAAAGACTCAACTTTCCTGATACAGATATTACTGATGCCATGAGTCCAAGCACTCATCCCAGTTCATTTTGTCAGAGTACTTCATTATTTATCCTCTTGGCTTTGACGATAGGGTCCTAGATTATATAATCCAAATATAGTAATATTAAGTTTTACAATTCTCATTTTCTAGACTTTTATGAAATTTACCTGGATGCTACAGAGATTCAGAATCATAGATTTTTATGCCAAAGTACTTTGCAAAATGCATAGAAGTGACCATGGGGATAGTGGCAGTACCAGCAATAGTAAAAGATATTTGTCTTTCTCTGACTGGCTTATTTCACTTAGCATATTAATCTCCAGGTACCGCCATGCTATCTCAAAGGATAATAGATCCTTCAATTTTAGCATCAATATCAATATACTTAGAGAAATACAACATATGCATATATTACAGCTGCCTCATTAGAGTTACAATCACTTCTTATAATATAGTGACTTACAAAAAAAGTTTAATCTTTTAATCTAAAACAATCATAGTTTTGTTTATGTTGTTTTAGATTATTTAAGTGCAATTAAGCCAATAAATATGCTCATCAAAGAATTTATAGGAGAAATATAACCTGAAATGTAGTGGAAGACATAAATATTTCTTGTCAGCAGAATTTTTTTGGTATTATCTTATTTCTACTTATTGTAAAAGTAATTGAAGGAGTAATAGAAATTAAGGGAAACTTCTTGAAGAAAAAAATATGAAGACACATGAATATGCCTCTGGTCAGCCCTTCCTCTACCGCTGCTCGATGTGTTTGTTCTTTGACAAACAGTGTTGACCCTCAGCCCATGTACTTCTCTCTGCAGGTTTACAGAGAGCCAGTGCACGAGCCCCTTCGCCCTACCGGAGAGACTTTGAGGCCAAGCTCCGTAATTTCTACCGGAAACTGGAAGCCAAAGGATTTGGTCAGGGTCCAGGGAAAATTAAGTAAGTGCTCCAGTACCTGACACTGAATTCAGAGGGTAGCTTTTTTTTATCTTTTTCTCCTTTATACCTTTGTAATATTATTTTGGAAATTGGATACCATGGTGTGGTAAAAGTTATTTTCATAGTAAAGAGAAAGAAAAAATTTACGAAGTTAAGAAGAAAGAAGAACGGAAGTTAAGAAATTGAAGAGGAGGCAGAAAGGGAAGGGAAGAGACGGGCCAGAAAGAAAAAAAACAGTAGATTTCAGACAAAGGCATATGTAAAGTCAATGGTAGACCTTTTCAGAAAACAATGAATCTTGATCTAAATTAAAAAATCGTATATTCCTTTACTTTTTCTTGGGACACATTTAACTCATTAGTCAAATTCATAGGTTCTTTGTAACTTTGTAATAGGAGGCTAAGTAAAAAGTTGTGGGTTTTTCTCCTTCTGGGTTTTGTGTTTTTGTTTTGTTTTTGAAAAGCCAAACCCAAACTCAGGAATCCAATTGAAAAGATTTTTTTTAATTGATAAAAAAAAAAACAGGATGGAATGTATCTATAATAATAAAAGCATAATATGCTAATTAGACCAGACAGCCGAACAACCTTCCGGATGTCATTCCGAACAAAGCTGCAGCATCAGAAGCAGAGGCAGAGGCGGTTAGGGGCGATCAGGCAGGCAGGCTAGCAGTTAGGGGTGATCAGGCAGGCAGATGAGTGGTTAGGGGCAATCAGGCAGGCAGGCAGGCGAGCAGGTAGGAGCCAGTGGTCCCAGATTGTGAGAGGGTACAGGCCAGGCTAAGGGACCCTCCCCTCTGTGCACTAATATTGTGCACCAGGCCTCTAGTCTAATTATAAAAGCATACACGTTGTCCTTGTGCTATCAATGGTTTAAAAAGAGTGTTCTTTAAAAGTCCATCCCTCAACTGATGGAATCTGCACATTCATGGAGAGTCTAGGGAATGAGACCTGGGCACTCATGACTCACCTAGAATACTGTCCAACGGCAGAGCTTCGAGCCACTACTCATCACCCACGTGGCTTTTACTCCTTCCTAGGCTCATCATTCGCCGGGACCACTTGTTGGAAGGAACCTTCAATCAGGTGATGGCCTATTCCCGGAAAGAGCTCCAGCGAAACAAACTCTACGTCACCTTTGTTGGAGAAGAGGGGTGAGGCACCAGTAGTTTTATGCAGACACTTCAATGTGGTGGACCAAGCCCCTGGGTCTTGGGTGATTTTTCTCAAAAAGAAGCAGAGTGGCTCTAAGCCTTTGCCCCAAAGTGATTCTAATTGTGGCCTTCTAGGAGGTCTTTCTCCAGGTATTGCCAAGCTTGAGATTTCATGTTCTTTAAAAGCCTAAGATTATTGACAGGTACTAGAGTCTGAGGTACATGATCAAAGTATAAACCAAAACTACTGGGTCTTTACTTTTTCAAGTGGTGTACACTTTTGAGTATCTGATCAAAAAACTCTTCCTCCTAAAGTGCACCTATACAACTATATACCAAATTTGTGATATGATTTGAGTGACTTTATGGAAAATCATCTCGACCATAGAGGACAAACCCACCTCAGAGGGCATATCAGAATGAACTTGGAAACTTTTTAATTCACACATATGCACATATGCACACATACACACACGGTCACAGGAAATTCTCTTGTGCCTCCCCCAACAAAGTCTTTGTTTTTAATGGGCCAGCTGTGTATTATATCCAACAGTTGTTATATAATTTAAAAAACAAAAAAGAGGAAAGGTTAAGGAACACTGCCATAAGACTTCACTTATGGAAATCTGAGTAAGAACTTCCCCAAACCAATGACCACATCCTCATTTTTCTATGGCAAATTAATACTTCTGTTGGCTTCCACTCAAAAGAGCCAAGGCTGCTCTTGACATTCCCCAGTACTGACTCTGAAAGAGCACACTAGCACCCAGATAGAGGTAAGTCCCCTGCTTCCTGTTCATAATAGATTACCCGGGCCTCTGCTTCCTCCGCAGCCTGGATTACAGTGGTCCTTCGCGGGAGTTCTTCTTCCTTTTGTCTCAGGAGCTCTTCAACCCTTACTACGGACTCTTTGAGTATTCTGCAAATGATACCTACACGGTGCAAATCAGTCCCATGTCTGCATTTGTGGAAAACCATCTAGAATGGTAAGATCTAGAATTTTTGCTTTCTTATGTTTGCAAGTTTTAGTCTTTCTTAGTCAGAGGGCAACAGTTTTTAGAGCAGTGGGCCAGATAGAATGAGGGGTGATGAGAGTGAATAGCAAAGCACTAGAAAGAAGACTTTCTGTTAGTCTTAATCCAGAATACAAAATAAATACTAAAGACACTGCAACTTTAATGACCACTTCAAATTTATGTAAGAAACAGTAATTGCCTTCTGAGGTCCTAAATGTTGATAATTCTACTAAAATTCGGAGTCCCCAGTGGAGGCTCCTTGGAGATATATATGGGTTTGAAATTCTTTGACACTTGTACACTTTTGGACCAATAGCTTTAGCACTGTGGACATCAGCTTCTATATCTTATTGTAAAATAAAGCTGTTGGGTCACATGATCTCTATGTGTCCTTCTGACTCAAAAATCCAGTTATCTCTTTGGTTTTCCATATAGTTCTGTAGGGAAGATACTTCAAGTATTAGAAGCCTCCAGAAATCTGCATGGGAAATGAAGTACGCATGCACTTTCTTGCTGTGTCTCCACAACACCTGATTTGAAAATTACCCCTGTTCTCACTGCAGGAGTTCCAGGACTTCATAAAGAAATGAGTCCTGAAAATTGCTAGTGTGATTGTTGTGACATTGTTTACTTATGATATGTTGCAATGGCTGCTGGTGATGGGAGTTTCTGAGGTGATACCTGGGCCTACTGGACTTACAGGCCAAATTCCTGTATTTTGGTTTTGTAGCATCAAATAATCCACCTCTGCCAAGGTGTGTAGCTATTGCCATGCCAGCTCTCTTCAAATAGGCTCATCTCTGTAGTTTTTGAGCTGAGGTAGGAATGAGTCTACATCAAGCATTTGACACAAGTGATAAAACAAAAGTTGTCCTTCTCCTGTCATTTCTTTTTCTGTCACTCTCAATAAAGTGATGAAGAAGCCTATGAGACAGAAACACAAAGACAGGAAGACAGAGCAGGCAAGATATGGCCAGGGAATTTATGACCCTGAGAATTGAATGCCAGCTCTTACTTAGGTCACATTTAGATGGGGTTAGAGAGTGCTATAACCAATATAAGAATACATATATACACAGATTATACTTAATATAATCCCTCAGTTATCTCTTAATTTGTGAGCATGAAATTTAAGATGGCGTCATCGAGGCCATGAATTGGAATCTGTAACCAAAAAAGAAATATTTTCATCAAATATCATACCATATGGGACTATGCTAGATGTTGTAGGGATACCTTTACTAATTTAGCAATTATAAACTAAGCACATACTATATGCTGGGAGAATACAAAGATGAAATGAGTAAGATCTCTTCCCTGAAAGAGGTGTAGTAGGAAGAACACATAAATGAACCAATAATTATAATACAAAATCATAAGTCACCCCAATAAATTCAATAAGGGAAAAAGCTCCCGACAAACAATGTCCTGGACTGGATGATTCACAGGTAAATTTTACAAAACATTCAAAGAAAATCTAGCACCTATCCATCTCACACTACTTCAAAAATATCAAGAGGAGAAAAGATTCCAAAGCTTATTTTATGAGGCCAATATTATCCTAACACCAAAACCAAAAAAAGACACCACAAAGAAAGAAAATCATAGCCCAATATCTCTGATGAACATAAACGCTAGTGTCCTCAACAAAATATTAGCAAAATGGATCCAGCTATATATTAAAAAGACCATACACCATGACCAAGTGTGATTCATTCAGAGATGCAAGGTTGGTATAATATCTGCAAATTAAAGAACATGATACACCATATAAACAAAAAGAGATAAAAATTACATGATCATGTAAATAGATGCAATAAAATCATTTGATAAAATCCAACACCCATCTATAATAATAAAAGCATAATATGCTAATTAGACTGGACAGCTGAATGACCTTCTGGACGAAGCCAGGGCTACGAGGGCCAAGGCAGCCGCGGCGGCTGCAAGGGCTGAGCCCTTTGCAAGAATTTCGTGCATCGGGCCTCTAGTTTATAGTAATCACTCTCGGCAAAGTGGGAATAGAGAAAACATACCTCAATGTAATAAAGGCCATATATGACAAATTCACAACCCACATCATATTCAATGGGAAAAAATTAAAAGCATTTCCCTTAGATCAGCAAAGTGACAGAGAGTGCACTTCCAACACTCTTATTCAACGTAGCACTGGAAGTCCTGGCCAGAACAATCAGTAAGAAAAAATAAATGGTATCCAAATTGGAAAGGAAGAAGTAAAACTGCCATTATTTGCAGATGATAAGATACTGTATGTAGAGCACCCTAAAGACTACACCAAAAAACTATTAGACATAATAAATGAATTTGGCAAAATAGCAAGATACAAAATTAACATCCAGATATACACTGATGTTCATATTTCACAGATGCACAACATATTCCAAAAATGTATATGAAACAAAAATAACACCAAGGAGACATAGCAATCTTGAGAAAAAAGGAGCGAAGTTGGATGGATTACAGTTTTGGATCTCAAATTATACTACAAAGCCATTGTAATCAAAACAGCCTGATACTGGCACAAGAGCAGGCATATACTAGTAGATCAATGCACAGAGACCCCAGAAACTGACCCATGCCATTATGGTAAATTAATATTTGACAAAGGAGGCAAAGCATACAATGGAGTAAAGACAGTCACTTCAATAAGTGGTGTTTGGAAAATTAGACAGGTACATGGGGAAAAAATGCTTCTATACCAACTTACACCATACACGGGAATAAACTCATAACGGATGAAAGACTTAAATGTAAGTTGTGAAACAATAAAAATAGGCAGTAAAATCTCAGACATCTCATGTAGCAGGATTTTCACTGATACACCTCCTAGGGCAAGGCAAACAAAGGGAAAAATAAACAAGTGGGACTATATTAAACTAAAATGTTTCTGCACAACAAAGGAAACCATCCACAAAATTAAAAGGGAACCCACTATATGGGAAAATGTATTCACCGCTGGAGGCTCCGCTGATTGCCTACCACAGTGTGATTCTGTGTAATTCTTCCCACTGACCTTGAGCTCAACTGCCATCTGTATTAGACACACATTAACCTTCAGGTGGTTTCTTCGGGATGCTTTACTAGGTAAGGATGCATGGTCTAGAAGACTTTCCATGGCCTTGGGTTTAGGTCTTCCTCAGGGTCAATGTGGGCTGTTTGTCCATAATTCCCCTTCACCAGTGCTTTTCTTCT